AATAGGCTGAATAGCATCATGAAATTTAGCAGGCACTTTTGCAAAAAGGGTTTCAGGTGCATGATAAAATTTTTTTATAAATTCAATTGCTTTTACTTCACAATGTTCTTGAAGTGAATTTTTTTGCCTATAATTTTTTGGCAGGAGTGTAGAAATAAACTGTCAAACAATAAATTATATTTGAAAGATGCATTCATGAGCCACAAAAATTTAGATAAAATCAAAATACATTAATTTGGAACTGCACCATTTGAGATTCAATAAAATGCAGCTTTGAAGCAACAGAATTTAAAAAAGTAAGGTTATTCCAACCCTACAGCACACTAGCTGCCAGATTTGAAATTTGCCAAAAAAGTGCAAAATTCTTGACTTGACAGGATAGAAAAATTTTACTTTTTTCAATAATATGGCTCTAACCTCAAATCATTTTCAGAGGCATAAAATCCCATAGCCCTAAAGTCATTTATTTATGCTTGATTGAAATATATTAGTTTGCAAATGGTTCACAAAATTTTGAACTTTCTACAGTTTAGTAACATGCTCCAGCCAAAATATCCTGCATAATGACTTCACCCAAAACATTCTATTGACATTCATGGATTTGTGGTCATTTTAGACTGAATTATAACTGTATTGTTTCTCTAACAAAACTGAAAATAAAGCTATGCTACACTGTTAGAAAAAAACGGTGAAAAAATGGTCCCACTGGCATTCTAGTGGCCGGTCGCCCAGTGAAAATAAACTGTTTTGCCGTTTTTATCAGATGTTTTATGGATTTCTAGTGTTAAATTAGAATAAAATGGTGACACGGTGTTTCTTTTCACATGTTGACCGGCCACTGAAATGCCGGTAATACCGTTAACGGTAATTTTTCTAACAGTGTATCAAACTTACTTGCCTTGCAAATAAAGAATATTCTTGTTGATATCTATTTCTGAGATAAATTAGAGAATTAGGATAATGTGTGTGCATGGCTAGGCAAATGAGTTTGTGGCTAGGCAAATTGGTTCAGTGCTCAAAAATGGCTTTTCACAGCATGGAAAAGGAATTCATGGCTTAGAAAAAAAAATTAACAGCTCCAAAAATATATTTGCAGCTGGGGGAGTATAGATATTTTCTGCACTAGACTTCCAAACTGGAAAATCAGGAAGCCAACCATGAATTAGATAGAAGTGCTTATGCTTACAAACAATTCACCTGTTCCAATGGTCTTTGTTTAATTACTTCAGTGAAAATTGAGAAAAAACCTACAATGCTGCTAACAAGTTACAAGAATCACCAGTAAAATTATTTTTTTACTATGATTTTTGCAACATAATGCCCAATATTCTAGATTGGCAGCAGTCTTAAAAGCCATAATATTTCAGTAATAAGTGTAAATATAATAATCTTGTATGGATAGTAATCTGATACTATTCATAGTTATCTGATACTATTTTGATGCTACTTTGATTTTTATCTTGGATAGATTGTTTCTTGATAAGGCTGGGCTGACTGGCAACTAAGGAATGGTTGCAAATTCAATCTTATCTAAGCAGGCTAAGTCAGTAACTTGAGCAAGTGTCATGGACAATTTGACATAATTATTAGAGATATAGATACCATCAAATGGGGTAGTAAGGGACTGGCGGATAAATCAAGACAGTCCTCTGCCATGGCACAAAAATGTTATAGCAGCAAAACTAATAGAAATATTGCAAAACTAATAATAGTGGTGTAACTTAAACATTTTTCCTATTTATATAGCATAAAGAAAGTTAAGAAGTCATACATTTACAAGCTCTAAAAAATCCATAAAAAAGTTGTAAAATTATATTTTGGAAAATTACTTCTGCTAAGGTCTGCAGTAAAAATATTAAGAGTCTGTAGTAAAAAAACCTCACAAATAAATGTTGGGGAGGTTTTAAAAGTGCTAGGTATAGAACAGAAAAAATAGTTTTTTTGTTAATGAAAAATGGAGACTGTAAAGTATTAATCACAGAAACATAATTTATTCTACATCTACATCATCTACAAATGAAGAGGAGGACTTCAAAGAACTGTTAGTAATGTATGAGTACACTCTGCATGCTTCAAACAATTTAAAATAAAGTTTGATTTTAAGTGTCTGAGATAACCCCATTCCCATGGGTATTTTGGGACACTTCTTTTGCTTCTGGCACCTTAGGAATACCATATGGAATTTTTTTCACATATGCTATACAATAGCCCTTACAAAGCTTTAAAATGAGCAAAGAATTTGTTGATGAAATGTTTCATGGTAAGAAGTTATCAAGGAAAAACAAAAAATCATCCCTTATAACCCTGTTTTACAGTACCATCAAATTGAGTAATAAGGGACAGATGGGGTAAATCAGGACAGGTGTCACACATTTTTTAGAAATGTTGTAGCAGCTAAACTTATCAAAAATCAAAATATTGCGTAACTAAAAATAGTGGCATAAAGTTCAACATTTTTTATATCTATGTAGCATGAAGTTAAGAAATCATACATTTACTGCCTCCCTTATTACCCTGTTTGATAGTACCGTCAAATGGGCTAATAAGGGATGGTTTTGAGCGTTTTTTGTTAATAACTTCTTACCATGATACATTTCATAAACAAATTTGGGCTCATTTTATAGCACGTTGCAAGGGCTATCGCATGGCATCTTCAAAAAAATTCCATAGGCTATTCCTAAGGTGCAAGATGCAACATAAAAGCGTCCCAAATTACCCCTGGGAACAGGGTAATCTGGGACACTTGAAATAAAACTTAATTTTAAAATGTTTGAAGCATGCAGTGTGCTCATCTATTACTAACAGTAATATGAAGTCCTCCTTTTCCTTTGTAGATGATGTAGATGTAGAATAAATGACATTTTCTGTAATTTTTACTTGTTTTCCATTTATTGACATGATATTACTATATCCATATATTACCATATCCATGAATGTGCCATTGAGCATTTACAATGACCTTGTCCACTGCAAGCTTTATACCAGCAGCCATATTACACTTTTCTGTATGTGTAAGCTTACCGGATGGCTTGTAATTTCACTCCATTTCAATTGGGTCAAAGTAATTCACTATAACAAAAAAATATAACTCAGTAATCACTGCAGTGAGTGACAGAGAGCGCATTTTCTTGTCGGCAAAAACGTGAAGTCATGGACAGACAGACAGGCAGACGGACATGGCAAGCACAATAGTGCATTTTTTCCATAAATGAGGAAATGTGCTAAAAACTAGACTAAAAGCTGGAAACTAAACTAAAAACTAAACTAAAAACTAAAATTAAACTAAAAACTAAACTAAAACTTTCGTCTCGTCAACGAAAACGTGAAGTCACGGACAAACGGACGAACAGACAGACAGACGGACATAGCGAGCACAATAGTGCATTTTTTCCATAAAGAGAAAATGTGCTAAAAAGATCATAAAAACATGCCTGAAACAGAAAGGAATGTTCTAGTGACAATCATCATATTTTTGGATGAATAAATCATAGTTTGGGTTAATTACTTTTCATTTTATGTTGCCTGGTGCACAATTCTACCTATGACATTCTCTGCACAATTTTGTGATGACTGCTGATGCATTAATTTTTTGGTTAGTAAATTCTTTCAGCAGAGCAAGGTAAATGTAATCGAAATTTTTTTGTTGTTAACTGATTTTTTGATTAACTGGAGCCTTTGCTAACTGAGGTTCTACTATAAATGCGTTTTCAGGGTCTACCTTATTAACCTGGAGGGGGAGTGTCTGGGTCCCTTATTACCCCATCGTGCAGAAATGGCAGCAATTTACTTGGAACGAGATATGCAAATTCAGACAAACACATTTGTAAGCCTGAGCCAACACCTGTTTGCAATTTATGCAAGTGAAATTTTGTAATACAACAAATATTTTTTGCTGCAGATCTTAGACAATGTACTTTTCCATAACCTCACTTTGCACACTTTTTCAGAGGTTTTTTAGAGGTGGTAATCCAAGAATGTATGATTTCTCAATTTGCTGTAGGGTAAACGCGGTATATTCCGACACATTAAGCACGCATCGAGAAATGAAAAACTATAAAAAAAACCGTATGCGTTACGTAAGTTCTGTTGCCTTCACATGACTCTCAAAAATCTTCACTACGCGTCAGCAACAATGAAACGTCACAAAATGTTGCCATATTTATTAAAAAGCCTTTAGAATGGAAACCTACCAAATCCCTATATTCCATCACTTTGTGTGGCAATATTTGACACGTGGTGTCATGCATTGTCTCTCTTTGAATCTCAATATTTTCCCACTAGATGGCCAAGACCTAGTGTTTTTGCAGTATTTCGACACGCAAATGTATGACGTCACCATTTCAACCATCAATGAATGCATGGAACTAAAACAAAGCTCAATATAAAGGAAAAGCTGGAGAGGTGACGGAATTACCTACAATGTCGGAATATACCGCGTTTACCCTATGCTACATTGATAGTAAATGCTACATTGAATGATTGATAGTTAGAATTTCTGCTACTATTTTTAGTTTAGCAATATTTCGATTAGTTTAGCTGCTACAACATTTCTACAAAATGTGGAATGCCTGTCTCAATTTGCCCCACCTTTTCCTTATTACCCCATTTGCCAGCTAGACTAGATGAGGCTATGCAGGACTGCAGGAGCATATGTTCAGTCCTAAATTTAAAATGCCTAGCAAATTGCAGACCAGGCAATAAGTCCAGCAGCTATCTCAATCAATTGTCACTGTCAGTTATGGAAAGATCGGGTTCCAATGGCCGGATCCCTTGTGAATCAAGTCATGAAAAGTTCAACCTGTTCAAGAATAGGCAGCAGGCTATAGGCCTATTTCTTCAGCGCCAACATTTCTATTCTAATCTAATACTCAAGATAGTTGAACTCGGCTACAATTGAGTTTATTCTTGCAAATAACTTTCAGTCTTTGAAATAAAAGAAAAAATTGGCTTAATGGGTTAAATTATCACAAATCAAGAAATATAAATATACTGTTACATACCTTCTATGCAAACGACATGTTCACGAATTTGTTGTGCCAATAGCGGATCTGGAATGAGCTCTATAATATCGTATATAGCATAAATGCTGGGATGAACTGATTCGAATCGCTGAATTTCTTGCCTAATAGCAGCAGAACTGCTCACAAACGGTTGTAATTGTCTGTTATTCATACTCATTTATGCACTTGAGACATGAGGGTCCGTGAAATTGTTCACTATCTACTCACACGACACATTCATATGACATTACAGCGATGACACCCGTCACAAGGCTGCACTCCCCTCAAAGATGGCAATGGTAAATGGTCAAAAGAGATGCTTCATAAACAAACCCTGTGAGGAGTGAAAAAATATGTAAACTAGAATTTGGGTGATAAAAATATGGATCATCTACAAAAATATTCTTTGATAATGTTTATTTTGATGCTTTATGTTAGATATTGAAAATTTCATTCTGGTATTTTATCGGATCTATGTTTTGGAATAATATATTGTTCCTACTAAAATTTAACTTTCTACTCTGTTTCAATATATGTAACTATAAAAATCCAGTGTTTTATCGTGGGAGATAGAAATTATATTGTAAATTTATATTGAGCTTTTAAATTCATGTTTTGATGTTGTTAACCGATGCTTCAAATTTCAGGTTCAACAAACCTATTCACATGAAGAGGAGTGCCTGTTGAAAGGCCAGCCTATTCCCAATTTCATAATTAATTCACATCCTTTTCAAGAAGCCATCCCAACTTCACATACAACATCTCAGAATGACGGTACTTGCACGCATACTCCGATTGAGCATGACAGCTTAAGATAGCCTCGAGTATGGTATTGCGAGGAATTGGAAATTCGGACCAGCATGTTCATTGTTTTGAATTTGTTTACCTTATAGACTTACAAGATAGAAACAAAAGCAGTACATCATGCCCCCGAGTTTAGGCTTGTATGACCAAATACTCTAATTATTGGTTGCGTCAAAGCGAACAATCCTCTTAACAGTCGTAGATCTAGGTCAATGTATGCGGTCCATTTAAGCGATGAAGAACTTAAGCACATCAGTGGGGTGCAGCACGAGTCTCAAGCTCTCTTCACTCTTTTTTTTTTGTTTTTTTTTTCGGCAAGAAGTTCTTATTTTGACCATGCTCTAGTGCAGTGGTTCCCAAACTTTTTCAGGCTGGCGCCCCCTTTGACTCCCTAGTGCACTTCTAGCGCCCCCCACAGACATATATAAAAACATACGCCTCTTTCTTGAAATTTAGTACGCTGCAATTTTAATAGACAAAAGTTAAACACAAATGTGTATTTCACAAATAGAACCCCATTTAGTGAACCAATATGTTTTTATGCCGTTTTAACTGTTTCAGCACTAGAAACCTAGGACGTCTCGGGCATATTCACGGCCGGACTCGTGGCCGGTCGAACGACCAATCTCCAAATTCAATTATCAAGTAATATCTCCCAAACTAATGAACGCAGCTCAAGGTAACTTGGAACAAGCCGGGATACCTAACGTTGATTTTTAGCTCGTAAAAAATTTTAAATTTCACATTCATTCGTGAGTTATATTGCGATAAAGGCCGAAATTCGCAGTGATCAAAGAATTTCTTCCAAACTACTGAACAGATTTGAACGAAAATTTGATTATACATTCCTAACTACCAAGCGTTGACTTTTTTGGCTTTTAAAAATTTTCGATTTTACCTTTGTTTGCGAGTTTTTTTTTCATTTCACAGTCATTCTTGATTTCACATTTCATTATATTCGGCCCGTATCGCCGGATAATTTGTCGCTTACATTAGCGGCGATCAAGAAATTTCTTCTAAACTACTGAACAGATTTCAACAAAACTTTGTATATAAATACCTAACCTCTCAACGGTGATGTTTAGCTCGTGACAATTTTTCTAGTTTGCTTTCGTTCGCGAGTTATACAGATATAGGAGGAACGACCGGCTTTTCTACCGGCCGGTTTAACCAAGAGCCGTTTACGTATATCCGAATACGTATAGCCGTACAACTCGCAAACGAAGGCAAAACGGAAAAATTGTAGCGAGCTAAACATCACCGTTGCTGAGGTTAGGTATTTAAATACTAAGTTTCGTTCAAATCAATTCAGTAGTTTTGGAAGGAATTTCTTGATTACTGCGAATTTAAGCACGCATTGCTGTTTAAATCACGAATGAAGGTGAAATGAAAAAAAACTCGCGAATAATGGCACAATCGAATAAATTTTCATGAGCTAATTATTAACGTTTGGTAGTAAGGACTGTAAAATGTAAATTCAAAATTTCGCTAGAATCTGCTCAATAGTTTGGAAAAAATTTCTTGATTACCCGGTACTGTGAATTTCGGCTCGTATTGTCATATAACTATGGCAAAAACAAATGAAGGCAAAATAAAAAAAATTCACGAGCTTAACATTACCGTTAGGTCCTAATGAATACGCGTACCAAGTTTCATCGAGTTAAGTTCATTAGTTTGAGAGATATTACTCGAACATTGAATTGGAAATTGGCCGTGAGATCGGCCGAGAGTCTGGCCGTTAATTTGTCCTAGACGTAAACCCAAGAGAGGTTAAAAAACAGATCTGGGTGAAAAACCCATCGCTGGAAGTCATGTGCTGCACGTGTTGTGTACAAATCGTCAAACAAACGTTCGAACTTCTTACTTCGGACTACCGCCCCCCTATCGCCCCCCAAACGCCCTCTTCTTCCTTACCGCCCCCCAAAATCTTTCCATCGCCCCTAGGGGGGCGATATCGTGCTACGTGTATTTGGGCCGCTACGTGTACTTGGGTCGTTACATATACTGAGGCCGCTACGTGTATTTGGGCCGCTACGTGTACTTGGGTCGTTACATATATGTACTTAGGCCGCTACATGTTCATGGGCGAGATTTAATAGTACGACCTCAGGTCTCTACAGTGTTATCGGAGTTGCTGTGCTTCTGGGTAGCAATTTAATCAGATTAATCTTCTTCATGAAAATAAAAAATAAATAAATAAATTCAAAGGCGTACGGGAAAAAACAATAACATACAGGCATTCAGCCCATAATTAGAAGTAACATAATACTTGACTGGTGTCAAAATGTTAATTGAGGAAATTCTATTATTTCAAATTTTAATATTTCTTCCCGTGTAGCAACCGTAACAAATGATTTGTTGAACAATATAATTATACATTAGTTGATACAGTTTTACAATTAAAGAATAAAACGATTCATCGATTTATTCAATAAATCTCACAGCCATCTTCATGGTATGTACAAATAATTCAATACAAAATTCAACTTTGAAATGCAAGCGATTATAGAATCATCTTTTCTTACCCACACGCATTTCACGACAATCATTAAAATTAAAAAAAAAATACAATAAGGAAACTAGCGACACGTCCAATTATACTAAATTCAGTCGGTTCCGACTCGTTATACGCGCGTATGCTGATCTTGTTCGAACAAGAAAATTCTAAGTCACAACTACTAGTCTGGAAATATTGACACACAACCATGTTGTAACCAATGCCTAGCAGATTACGGACCAGGCAATAAGTCCAGCAGCTATCTCAATCAATCGTCATTTATGGAAAGATCGGGTTCCAAAGGTCGGATCCCTTGTGAATCAAGTCACGAAAAATTCAAGAATCGGCAACAGGCCATGGGCCTATTTCTTCAGTGCCGACACTTCTATTCTATTCTAATCAAGCTACACACGTACCGACGTATGACAATATAATTTAACAAGCTTGGCTGCAGATACAATAATGGGCCTACCGGCCTAGGCAGTTGTATCTGCAGTACAAAGTTGGCCTAGGCACATGCAATAATGGGCTGATATCGATTTAGTTTAACATTGTAATAACCTATGACATCACGCACCGCGATGACAGTTAAGTAAATAAAATACAGACTGACTTGTGTTAAAAAGTGTAAAAGTTTCCGTTTGGAAATAATAAACCCTAGCAGGAACTGAGGTTTTATTTACACTGAAGCAGTATGGCTTCCCTTAGTTAGCTGGGAATTTGACTTGCAATCATTAAGAATCTGGGGTTTAATTAAGGATTTAAGATAAAGATTTAGGTATCTCTTATTATCGCGCAGTGTGGCGTGATCACCTCCATCATTCCTAGGAGGTCCAACCCCACCACTCCGCCCCGCAGTGCATTAAGCAGCGTCCTCAATAATTTCTGAAATTCTCTTTCAGTTCAGATTATTGTACAAATACTTCCGTTTCGGCATATGAAATATAATAAAATTCAGAATGAAACCATTTTTACTAAATTTCTATGCTTTGCAAAAATTAAATACACATAATCTTATACAACAATAACTATCAAAATTAGAACCGGAGGAAACAAATAACTTTCAAAAAGAGTTACTTCAATTTTCGGCATGGAATGTCCGAAATAATGGCATATTTCAGGAATGTTCTCATCAATTTTTCAAAGACACAACTAAATACATTTGAACAACGCAAACAATGGGGAAAATAATTGCATTGAATCATGAAAAATTATGCGGTAATAAAGATGCTAACTATGTGGTAACGTTATAGCTGCTATGTTTCACGAGATGGCAATGGTTCGGTCAATCGCGTGAATCCTTAACATAAATGATGATCGCAACGTAAAAATTCTCTGAAGATCAGTTCGTAGGCGATAACTAGCCAAATAAATACAATCTTCAGGAAGTTAAATCAGGGTTGTTTGAAGAAGTTCGTTGTTGGACGTTATCATATATGACATTGCAGGGCAACATGGAGCTGTTTTGAGACTCGGTAGTTATGACGTTTGAAGAAACATTCCCTTCTCTTTGGTTGGTATTAGATGAGGAAGATTCAACATTACAGGTTGAGTTTTCATGCACAAAATATCGTGGTCGCCATTCTTTGGAATTCGCAGATCCAGTCTGAGCATCTAATATCAAGTTATCATAATCTCTAGACTGATCTTGTTCTATGGACTGCAAGCTACGAAGAGGTCTGTTTAAATCCGACTTGTCCGTAGACTCACGTGGGTTTTCATCCAATAAAGTAGTATTATTTGGATGCGATTCTTCATTTTCAACCAGATATATTGCTTCAACATCAAGCCGCTCTCCTGGTTGGATAGGCAGAGCTTCGCTTTGGTCTGAGACGCCATGGAGAATTTCATGTGAGGCTGGAGGCGAGGACTGCGGCTCGAGAATCTGTATCGACCTCACAGCTTCTTGTACTTCGTTCTGTTTCTCCCCACAGATATATTCCCCAGAATTATTTGCAATTGATAAATCATCTTCAAGTCGGATTAAGATTCCTGGATGGTTTGAAGCTTCCACAGCGGAATTCGTATGTTGTTGCTGAAGTGGATGAGCAGCCATAGTGTCTGACGGATCCGCCGTAATGGTTCTGCTCGGGTCGTTATGAAAAAACTGATCCTGCGGGTGTTTTTGGAAGAGTGCAGACGGTCCTCCGTTGAGGACTTGTGCCTCTACATCACATTTTTTGAGCTTGTGTTGCTGCTGCAGATGCTGCCTGATTCCCTGAAGCCACCTGAAAAATGAACGCCAGTTAAATTCGGTATCACCCATAAATAAAAGATACGTCACGATACTATCAACTTCAAGCACATACGGGAGTTGCTAACATTTCTGTAGATGATACCAAAAGTGGCCATTTAAATTCGGACATTACTCTTGGCTTTCACGCTTTCTCAAATCAGTTCATTTTACGAATTACATACTGAAAAAACTTATGAATCTGAACCACTAGCCACACAGATATATAGACCCGAGTCACTTGTCACACAGATATACAGACCTGAACCACTGGCCACACAGATATACAGACCTGAACCGCTTACCACACAGATATACAGACCTGAACCACTTGCCACACAGATATACAGACCTGAACCACTTGCCACACAGATATACAGACCTGAACAACTTGCAAAACAGATATACAGACCTGAACCACTTGCCACACAGCCGACAGCTGTATTTGGCAGCAGTGATGTGTGTCTCCATATGTTTCTTGACGCTGTCCCGCCATATGAAGCGCTTGTGGCACACCTCGCAGGAGTAGGGACGCTCTCGCGTGTGCATGCGCATGTGGTCCCGGAAATGAATGCGGCGGTAGAAAGAACGCGGACACTCGGTGCATACAAACTCCTTCCTGTGAAAGGCAGTGTAATATTATTTATATATATTTAAAAGTTAATCACTACATGTATTATTTAATCAATTTATTGATTGTATTATCAATGCACTCATCAGTTACTCAATATATGTATTATTCAATCAATTTATTTCTTATTTCATCAATGCACTCATCAGTTACTCAAAACATGTATTATTTGATCAATTATTTATTATCTTGTCAATACACTCATTAGTTAATCCTTACATGTATTATTTAATCAATTTATTTATTATTTTATCAATGCACTCATTAGTTAATCAATATACTCATTAGTTTATGAATGCACTCGTTAGTTAATAGATACATGTACAAGTCAATTAAAGCATTCATAAGTTACTCTATACATTTAATATTTAATCACTCAGTCACTGATTGGCAAAAAATATATTTACATTCATTCAAATTTACCTAAATATCGACGAACCAATTCGAAAGTAAGCCAGTATCATCAATCTATCAGTCATAGTCATATATAATTCATTAATCTAACATAGCATTCTTTGCCTGCAAGATGTAACCTGTTAACAAATCAACTAAAAATTAAATTTATTATAAGTAATTATTGAAAGTCCCTGTCAATAACCAAGCAACGAGGTCTCTACAGCATACAAAAAGTTTTAAAGAGGAATTTGCGAGATTGTTCAATGGACCATTGATCATGAATCTTGATAAAAACGTCAAATTCATTTAAATTTGCCTTAGACTCCAGAACAATGCCTGCTTTACTTAAGAAATAATTGTCCAAGAAACAAGAAAATTTAAATGTCTAGAAAAATGTATTGAAATATGTCTAGAAATACGTATTGAAATATTGGAATATGTCTAGAAATATGTATTGAAATATTGGAATGTGTTAGTCTCAAATTAATCATCACCCACAAGGGGTGGGAGGTCTCAATTATTCAAAGTCACAAATTAATCATCACCCACAAGGGGTGGGAGGTCTCAATTATTCAGAGTCTCAAATTAATCATCACCCACAGGGGGTGGGAGGTCTCAATTATTCAGAGTCACAAATTAATCATCACCCACAGGGGGTGGGAGGTCTCACAATGTAACCTACTTTGATGTTTCTTGATGTGTTCCCTGAGGTTGTACGGCTTCTTGAAGTAGGAGTGGCAGTACGGACACGTGTGCTGGGCAAGGTTGTGCGACAGCGCGTGCTTCTTCAGGTGGTTTAGCTGCAAAAGTAAGTGCAAAATTAGGGAAATTACTTCATATGACTTTTGGGCCTAAATTTCCATTACCAGAATACACGGTCTTCAATAATTATTACAAGAATTAATTAAAAAATTAACATGATAATAAATGTTCAATAATAACATAACCTGAAATTGTGTAGGTAATGAATTTTCGCGTTCAAAAATGTAAATTTAAATATGACTGAAAGTTTAGGCGATTCCAATAAATTACAGGTGATTACGTAGGGTGCAAGTCTATGAGATAAATATGCATTTATCCCGTGTCCTTTTGCATTTCACTAAACAATACATCTCATTCCAAATGTTCAAAAAACCTAAGTTATCATCAATAATAAAAGGAAAAGGCAAGTATCGCTTAGAAACGGCAATCAAAATGTTCAAACCAGCAAACGCATAAAAGAAAACTATGATTTTCCTACAAATTTGGTTATTTACATCAGTAAAATCTTACTGCGTGATGAGAACGATAAAAAATAATCTTTTTCGAGACAAAACTTTCAACCATCAAAGAAAATAAAATTTCCCCCAACACTACAAGAAAAAACTAGTGTCAAACAAATAAATATTAGCTCTTCTTAACAATGAATTTAGTCCTGCTTTATTTATTATATGAGAAATAATACATAAATAAATAAAATAAATAAGTAACATTTATTACAGCAGCAAACTTGGCCGGGCACTCGGTGCAGGATATGGTCTTAGGCTTGGGTTCTGCAGGAGAAGATTTCTTGTTCTTCTTTGTTTTCTTTTTGCTAGTTTTAGTGCAGGCGCCGCCGTTGTTGTTTGTGTTGTTGTTGCTCACACTCAGATTTTGTAGAGACTGCACAAATAATTTTTTTCATAACGATAATATAATAAATTACTAGATCTTGACGTCTGAAACCAAATTATGGAAGGAGATGAGGCATTTTACAAGGCAAAAAAGGTATACTTGAATAAAAATGTATTCTCTAATAACAGCAGGCTGTACGCCATATATATTTACCGATTTGCAATAGGTTTAGTTATGTCTCTTTATAATAGTTTATCCTAAAGTACTCGCTCTTATATACTGCTGTAAACCCAACTATCTTGAATGATAAAGTATTTAAAAATATAACTCAGTACTCACTGCAGTGAGTGACAGAGAGCGCATTTTCTCGTCGACGAAAACTTGAGGTCACGGACGGACAGACAGAAGGACATGGTGCGCACAATAGTGCATTATTTCCATAAATGAGAAAATGCGCTAAGAACGTTATAACTCTGAAAACAAGTCGGTACCGCACCTCAAACTTCAACTCGGCTGTTTTATGGCTGGCAGTTCGTCTGGAGGTGAGAGTGACACCATCAGTGTTTTGTTCGGTGTGAGCAGCACTAATATCAGCATTTCCAGCAGGCACACCCTCACATCTTAGGCTGCTGTCAGCATTGCTAGAGGAACGAGGGTCGGCGATCGTTGGAGGGTCACAGGGACGATAAAATATACCGAGAATTTCTAACATTCTTTGAACCTGACGGAAGAAAGCACATGGTTGAAGTTCCATTAGAAACAACCATATAGGTTTCTAGGTTTCTGTTCATAAGTTACATGTAATAGGTTTCTGGTCATGTGTTATATGTAATAGGTTTCTGTTCATTTGTTATATGTAATAGATTTATGTTCATTTGTTATATGTAATAGGTGTCTGTTCACATGTTATATGTAATAGGTTTCTGTTCATGTTAAGCAGAAACAACGTGAGTACGTCAAGTTACAAGTTGTAATTGCACATTACATTGTTGAAGATTTAATTACACAAAATGATTGATAGATTTTATTAACACTAGAATTTTTTATAATGAGAATGTTAAATTTAAATTAAACCAAAATACAATTGTACAGCAATGACACCAAATTCCAGACTATAAGATCAATGAATGAGTTATTATTGGCAAAATATTATATTGTCACATCATGGTACTCAGTTCTTGATCTCATGGGTTTCCATTAGATACCTTCAAGGATACCCATGAGATTTCTTACAGGTATCCTGTAAGATATCACAGGCAACGCTGTTGTTAATTGATTTAAAAGCAAAGAAAACACCAAGCAAATTCACCATATCGATACTGAAAACGTTTCGGAGTCCAGCTCCATCATCAGTTCGAAAAACTAAAAATGAATAAAATCATATTATTATATCAAAATTGTAAGACAGACATAAAACCTAAAAAAGACCTAACATTATATCGAAAAAATAAGACCTAACATTATATCGAAAAATTCCTTGTGAACTTGCGATATAAGCAGACTGATAATATAAGTACTTATTGTTAATTGGTTATTGCAGCAACACCTTACACAAGTTAATATTTGCACCTGATGCTCAGTAAGGCCAAATTCTTGAGCGAGTTGCTGCACGCGTAAGTTGATGTCCCATGCCGACCCTGGCGCTGCTGCGGCGCTGCCGTCACTTGCAACACGATTGCTGGTTGCACACACAGTTCCCTCCTGTGAATAGAAATGTCATTAATTCTATTGTGTTTTAATTATCTATTATTAAAATTATAGAAAAGTATGTGAAGTGACTGAATTTGATATGAGCTGTGGTGGTGCAGTGGTGAGAGACTGTCTCTCGCACCCAGCTCCCGGGTTCGAGTCCCACTGAGGACAAGTTCTGCCGGGAAGCTCAGCTCATGGTCAACTCAGCCATTCATCCAACTCTGGTTGATAAATGGGTACCTGGCTTGTCCAGGGTGTTGTGTAATGCAATAAAATGGTTCTGGCGGGTCAGCGAGCCAGTGATGGTCATAGAACTACCAGTGGCACCGAGTGCCCGGAAAAACTGACCTATCACCCCCCTCCCTAGTCGCCACTACCAGGATGGGCAATTACAACAACAACAACAACTGAATTTGATATTAACTAGCTGCATGAATTGTATTTTAGCTGTATTAACCAATGAATTTCAAGCCTATAATAATGATGATTTATTATTAATGTTGTTAGCTCTGACATAACTATGAACAAACCCGATATGCTGTACATATTACATCTGAACAAATGGCACCTAGCACATTTGAACAAACCTCCCATGCTGCACATGTCACACATGAGCAAACCAGACATACTGTACATAGCACGTCTTACATACTGTACATAGCACGTCTGACATACTGTACATAGCACGTCTGACATACTGTACATAGCACATCTGACATACTGTACTGTACATAGCACATCTGAACAGACCTGACATACTGTACATAGCACATCTGACATACTGTACTGTACATAGCACATCTGAACAGACCTGACATACTGTACATAGCACATCTGACATACTGTACTGTACATAGCACATCTGAACAGACCTGACATGCTGTACATGGCACATCTGACATACTGTACTGTACATAGCACATCTGAACAGACCTGGCATGCTGTACATATTACAGAGAGCTGAGACACAGCTCCTTCTCGAAGAGAGGCTCGCTCCTGTATGACGATGGTGCCTGGGACGCTGCTGCCTGAACAGCAGTGCATGCTTCTCATCATCTCGCTCAAGTTGGAGACTTCCAAGATTCTGTAAATTTTACAATATCAAGTTATGGAAAGATCGGGTTCCAAAGGCCGGATCCCTTGTGAATCAATTCACGAAAAGTTCAAGAACCGAATCGGCAACAGGCCATGGGTCTATTTCTTTAGTGCCGACACTTCTATTCAATTCTATTAAATATTCAAACATGTTGAAAGTTTCACATTAAGATATATTTGCCTCAGTAGCTCGCCTGCATCAGGAATGAGCAATAGAACTCATTTAATAAGAATTCATTCAAAATTCTGCTAGTTCTGTCCTGTTAAAAATTTCAGAGATGTGATGCGATCACAATATACATTGATACCTTCATTACCGGTAATATAGTACCTACAAGAAAATAAGACAAATAAAGATTAATATCCATCCACTAGCGCAGTAACATGATGCTTATATATTTGAAGTGAATATAAAGAAGGAATTTATAGAGAAATAGTAAGGCCAACACAATGCAGCATAACTATGTTTATAAAATAAAATGAAGTCAACATTCAGGCTTGGATATCCAGCTATATTTTCAGCTATGGCAAAAATACAATGTCTTAGGGAAAAAATAAGATAAGTGTGTCTTGTTTTGTACATCAATCAACGGTAGACTTAGATATATATATACTAAATATATTTGTACCTGTATCCTACTGCAGGAATAACATCATTGACGACACCTGCTGGGATGAGGGAGGCTGGCTCACAGTGTTCTGATGCCTTCAGCAGCTGTCCCAGTAAGTTTTCCTTTTCACTAATCCCGGCAGACGTGACAGGAAGCAGGAGTACTGTAGCCAACCCACCACTTTCACCAATTACTTTTTCTCTTGAGTTACTAATAACTTGCGCTTGCTCATTTTTGCCTGTGTTTGAAGAATTTTGGAGTGTTGCTTCACCATTAATGGCATTACTATAGCTGCAACTAACACTTTTGGAGGCACCTTGTTCTACTTGTGGAAGAGTTTCAGCAGTAGCACTTGTGTTGGATTCATAAAGAGTATGTGAAAATGTGTTCTGTGTGTGAGCAACAGGCAAGTAGGAAGTGGAGCTGTTAGAAAAAGATTGGGTGACTGTTGGTACAGACTGTGCTGATCCGGATGACTGTAAACAATTAGGACCTTGAAAATCTGATGACTGCAAACTGAAGAAATGATCACCTCCTAGTTTGTTCTGACCTAGGTTGTTAGAGGATGGAACTAATGAATTTAAAGATGTAAATGAGTTTGAAGTTGAGGTGAATGTGCTGGAAATCAATGGAAATGACTGTGGAGTTTGGGACACAGAAGTGTGAGGATAAGCGTTCAAAGATGATGCAAACTCATTTTTATTTGAAGCAAAAACATTTATATCTGTAGTGCCCATGGGACATTGAACAGCAGATATGCGAACATCATTTGATGTGGTAAAATCAGAATTTTGTTCAACACTGCAATTGACAGCATAACAAGGTGCTACTGTTGGATGTATCAAGGTTGTGCTACTAGGAAGAGAAAATACAGAAGAGGGCAAAACTTGAGTACTGTTTGCACTCGAGTGGATGCCAGAAGAATTGGGATGATATCGTTGAAAAACTCTGCCATCCTGATTGTAAATATTGACACTTTCTACTGTTTTTTGGCTGCTAAAGTGCCCATCTAAAATGGAATTGGCTGCAAGCATTACATTTGAAAAAGTATCCAGATGGGAATCTTCAACATTTGAATCAACACAAACTGACGATGGTTCAGCTGTGCTCTTTGATGATTGCAAGGAACTCAAGTCATCAGAACGTGGTTCTTTATTCAAGTTATGAAGCTGCTTCTGATCATTGGCTGCCTCCAGTGGAGAAAGCTGGGATTCTGAAAAAGAAAATTCTTTCCCAAGAAAATAGAGCTTCTCAGTGGAATTCAATGTGCTGCTAGAGTCTTTACTTGTTGGCAATTGGTTTTGTAGTTGACAATATAAATGAGTATCTTCTATCAAAGTATCTCCCATTTGACTAGAGCTGGTATGAAGTACATGCGGTGTTGCTCCTGTATTTTTTGATATTACATCAGTTACTTGAAGCGGAATTTTCTCTAAAGTGTGTTTGCTACTGGCATCCTTTTTACGACGTTTCCGACTAATTCGTTCAGGGTCTGGGAAATTGTGTTGTCGTTGTTGATTGCTACAAGCAGATCCTCTGGCTCTTCTGCTCCTCAGTACAAGTGTTGGTTCCACTGAAGAAACTTTGTCAGATGACATCTGATCTGAGCTTAGAATTGACTTATGAATAACATTTTCTGAAGCTGAAGAAAAATAATCTTTCTTCTGAAAAGTTTGATTGTTGACAGTGTTTGAAATGCATGATTCAGTAGCATTTGAATTGAGAGATGAGATATTATCAGTTAATCCATTTGACAGTGTTTTTTCTATGTTATCACCAGCAAAATTTTCTACCACTGCAGCTGACTGCTCAAGCTTTTCATTTTTAGGGTCCCCTAAACTTGCCAGAGTTAGGGCAACTTCACTGTCAGTTTCTGACGTGTGGAATATATTTGGAAGACTCAATATGTTCATGTTATTCACATGAGACAAACTTGAATCAAAATTAGGCAACATGCTGTAATCATTTCCAGAACTTGAAGCAGTGTTCATCATAACCATCATAGAACTAGACATAGAAACACTGTTCACTGAATTTCCAACATCAATAGGTCCAGGGTCCACACCACTGCAATACAAGTCACTGTCACTGAGCATTATTCCCTGAAGTTCTTTGGCCTCTTTGATCTTTGGCAATAAACATGAGTGATGAGATTTTTCTGGGGTTTGAGAAGAATATAAATCATCAACGTTGAGAGTCATTGACGTAGGATCTTGACATGATGGGTGATGCGATAGCATATCATTCTTGTCAGTATCATTGCTACTTTTGCTGCAAACATCTGGTCCCACAGAAGAATTGGGCAATCTTGCTAATGCGTTGAATGCCATAGCTGATTGGCTGAACCTGCAAATGTAACTAGCTATAATTCTCAATATAATATAAAAATTTTCAAATTAATTTAAGGCTAATTTCTTAATACTAAACATTCCAAGTCATATATTGTAACTGGAACTTAAATTGCCATGGCACCTATGTCACTGGCCTTCAATTGGTATTTGGGAATAATTATTTCATAAACAAAAATAATTAACACTTACTAGTCAAATTGAAATAGCTTCATAGTTATTATGCTGTGATAGAACCCTGAAACTCCTAGTACTAACTTCTGACAAGGACTATATGGTCTTTATAAACAAATACCCACTTAAATGCCATATTATATCCCAGTTTAATGTTTAAACTGACAAATCATTTGTCAGTAACAATGAAAGATTTCAGTAATATAAGAACAATATAATAATATTGTTCAGTACAATATAAGAAATAAAACAAATAAAAAAAACTTTTAAAAACCACGTTTTCTTAACGGACAAAAAAGAAAAACATTAACTCTAACATAACATTAAAGTTATGTAATGTAATGTTATGTAAGAGTAAATGTTTTTCTTTTTTGTCCGTTAAGAAAATGTGGTTTTTAAAATTTTTTTTATTTGTTTTATTTCACTATTTTTAGTTTTGAAAAAACCAGAAAAACACGGTTTTAAAAATATTTTTATATTTATTCATTTTCTACTTTTAAGTTAGCAATTTTAGCAATTTAAATCAATTTCCAGGGTTCGCAAGTGTGGATGTTCAAGAAAAAACTCAATTCCAAACTATGAATTTCTATTCTATTTCTCTTGACCACGTTTTCTTAACGGACAAAAACGAAAAACATTTACTCTTACATAACATTACATAACATTTTTCTTTTTATACATAGACATTTTAGTTAGCAATTTTAGCAATTCAAATCAATTTCCACTTTCCAGGGTTGGCAAGTCTGGATGTTCGAGAAAAAACTCAAAATTCTAAACCGTGAATTTTTAGTGTTTTTACCACGTTTTTCTTAGCTCGCTTTCATGTCCGTCTGTGATGATCAAATCTTGCAATCCATATTTCACAAACTTTTCCACTAGCTAGCGCTCTGAAACTTTTTAGGAAGCTCAGCTCCCAATGACAATACAATAATCAATAATTTGTTGCATGTTTCCAGGCGTATTTAATCAATGAAATGCGTGGAATTTATTCAATTGGTGCATGAAATGAAATTACATGCACCAATGTATCCCCTCGAATACAATTTTCTACAGAACTTCGAAAACAATTTTCTTTTGTGCATTTGCATGGCCAACTGAAATAAAATGAATATTATGTAGGACTAAAAAGGAGAAAATAAAATACTTAAAAAAACTTTTTTAAAAAAAACATGTTTTTCTTGTGGACTAAAAAGTAGAAAATAAATTATGGCTCGCCCTAAAAAACGTGGGTCGGGCAGATTTATGATTAAAGCGAAAAGCAACAAGACACGAATTTTGGAAATTTGATGGTGAACGTAAAGCCCAACCCACGTTTTTTGGGGCGAGCCATAATTTATTTTCTACTTTTTAGTCCACAAGAATAACATGATTTAAAAAAAAAATTTTTTAAGTACCGTATTTTATTTTTATTTAAAAAAATTTGTTTAATTATTATTTCTAATGATCAAATCTTGAATTGTTAGGTAGCATAAACATGCATGCCAAATTTCAACTTACTAGGATGTTTAGAAGTGCTCTAAATTAAGGTTTGAATTTTTGATGACAGACACACATGAAACGAAGTCAAGAAAAACGTGGTAAAATGTTGTATTTTTGCCTACAATTTTCTAAGATAATTTATGAAATGTTTGTTTTCAACTGAAATTTTTGGATTTTTTTTTGCCATTTCAGATTGGGCATAAATATTAAAATATACGTTTAAAAATTACTTTTTAAAGACAACACTTCCAAAGAATCCAGTATCTCCAATCTTACAGATGTACAATGAATTTCTCATTTAATTTTCGAATATTAAAAAAATTTATTTTTCAATATTTTTAATATATATAAATTTTTTTAATTTATACATTTTTCCCAAAATTATTTATTCTATTAATTGATTCATGCATTGCCTCTGACTTCACACAAGTGTGCAAAATTTCAGATCAACTAGACAGGTAAAAGTGTGTCAAATATCAGTTAAGATTTGTAGCTGACAAAATTATTTTTTCAATTTTTTTCATATTGAAAACAAAATTTTTAATTCTTAAAATCATTCATTTTGACATGTGATTCATGCATTGTCTCCAACTTTACACAAGTGTGCAAAATTTCAGATCGATAAGATAAGTAGAAGTGTGTCAAATTTCGATTATAAGATTTGTAGCAGACAGACAGACACACAAACAGACAAACAAGAAGTGAAGTTAAAGAGAAGTGTTGTAAAATAGATAGGTACTTGTTTTTGAACAAGTTTGAACTTTGAAATTCAAATAATAACTAGGCCTAGGTAAGCATAAAAATATTACAAATAAGGAAGATATAACATACACGCCACACTCAGGATGATGTATGTTTTCGGTGAAATTTCCCACGCATTTTCACTTTTTTTAAGCTATTGCTGTGCACAGTTGGCGCAATGTAATGAAAATTAATTATCTTTGCGCATGTGTTCGCGCAATCCCGGCCATCAGTTCTACGTCGCGCTGCCGCGCATGAGCAGTTTGTGGAGGAACAGACCTAATACTCACAAAGTCTCACATTACTCAGTACAGTATGCCTTTAATTATCTTTCAATAATATATGATTTTTCTTGATACGGAAATTTGGTGAATGAGAAATCTAGAACTTTATTTTAGAAGAAATTTTCTCTGAAGTCATATGGCAACACTGAACACCATCTGTTTACATTTCGTATGTATAACAGCCGCAGTTTACGATTACCGTTGAAGAGGGCCGCAGAACATTAGCTGTATTGTATCATAGTGTATTTTCTTACTTCTAGGTCATGCCTCCTAATATCATCTGGTTTTCTCCCTTAGAAGAAGTGGTTTAAATTTTGTTTTGTTATTAATAATGTGTGTGTTTCTTCTGTGTTTGTTTCAGACATATATCTTTGTTATTGGCTTTACCAATACACGTGTCCAGTATTACCAGTGAAAAAGAGTCTACCTTTAACATGCACCAGCATGGTCATGCTTGAGCTTGTGCCTATCTGCACCTGATTGTCTATCAATGTCTGCATCCCTTGCCTGAATTCCAATTTACCTTGAAGTGATTGTTAACCCAATCCTGCTTGCCAAACTGCCGATACTCTGGTTCTTCCACATACTCCTGTTTCCTAAGCAACTTCAACGCTCCTTAAGGGTGAGTTGCAGTGAACTGGTAATATGATGCATTAATTTCCTGTCCTACCCATTTTCATGCTTTAACTAAATTGCACCCAATTTGGCTTATGATCTTGGTAAATCTTTGGTTGCTATTACAGTTAGTGAGTGTTTCTTTGCTTTGAGTGTTTACATTTCGACATTTGCATTACAGCATTAAGTCTTGTGTTATGCTTTGTGTTCCCTTTTGCTATACTGTATGGAGTACTTGTCCTGCTTCTTGCTGAAGCTTAATACCTGCTTGATAAATTTAATCTCAATCATAACTTTATTCACTTGAAGTATGAGTCCTCTTTATTTGCCATAAAAGGCAATGGACTCAAGAGTTGTATTTGTTAATTCGATAGGAGCAGTCAGTGTGGGACCCAGCTGCCAAGCTGTTGTGGAGATCTGGAGTCCCTGACTGCAAGTTCGTGACCTTCCTCTCCTGAGTACCATCACTTCACTAACCTGAACTCCTTGAAGAGTGCAGTGCTCATGCTCATATATATTGTACCAAATTGTATGATACCCTAATTGACTACATAATTGACCATTCATATCAAGCCAACTCATTAGCCATTTCTATGCGCTTTTCATGGTCCCCTAGTTAGGGTAGATAATTGCATAGTGTTAGGAGCCTATGCATCTTGTTGACTGCATTGATTGGGACCATGACTTGAATGGGTGCTTGAAATAACCTGACTTCACCAGTCCAGAGCCTTACTTTGACTAGATAATGTCCATGTGATTAAAAAATAGTTAGTTACATTAATGTTAGGTGGTATTTAGGCGGAGTTAGTTGCTCGGCTGTCCAGGTTGTGCCAGCTGTTTATTCATGCCTCTTTGAACCTTGCCGTTCCTGACGTTCTAGATTGAACTAAACCTGGATGGTTTCAGACTAGAAGTAGTTTAAGTGTTATCTTGTTTGTTTGCGTTCAAACCAAAACTATGTTCAAATATTTGAAGTCAAGTAGTCTCATACCATTTTGACTCGAGCATTGTAGACTAAAAGATCCTATGCCTAAGTAGGATAGAAGCCAAGCCTTTGTGAATGTTTAGGAACCTTAATTCATGTACCCTGTGCCATTCCCAGTATCTTTTTTTTTGTTCACTACAAAGCATAGTGAGTATCTTGCTGTTTCCCAGTACTCAAGGTTTCTGGTTCTCTGGCGGTGCACCTTCTGGAGTCTCTTGCGGTCAGTGACATCTCGGCATTCTGGCTACTAGACCGGTGAGTACAAAGAGGTGTGTGCCTGGGGGTGTGTGCCTGTGTATGACTGCAAAGTTGGCCAGAAGTGATCTACCAAACTTGTCTTCTGGCTATGCTCCAGGAGTGGTCCTGGGACCTTTCTTAAGTATATGGGTGTTTGTATTCACCAGTTTTTCATTGTCCCAAATTCAGTCTAATCATCTTGAGTGGGATAGTCTCATGGGGTAAGGGGGCTCATATCCACATAGGTTTTGTGGAACCCCAGTTGATCGAACCGCTACACCGTACGTTCCGTATCCGACAAGGCGGACAAGCAGAAGAGTCAGAAATAACCCGGACATGTCTTACATTTTCTTATTGTCAGTTCGACTCGCGTAGTCAATATACTTGCGTGTATTGTCGACTAAAATAGTAGAACTATTTAAGCTTTCTAAAGTACGGCGCACGGCGCATTTTTTTACGAAAATAGTACGGCGCACCGCGCAGGTCGTTAAAATGACAAAATAAATTCCCGCATACCTGGCACATCTTCCTGACCATGGCATACACGGCTACACGCACTCTCACAAGTCACAATGCATTTATTAGAATGAAACTTATAGAAGGACAGTAAAGACTAAAGACTGAACTCACTGAATCCTGAAGGAGAAAAATCACATATCCTAGTCCAGCTCCAAGCCTCCAGGGTCCAGGGATGTCAGTCAAAGTCAAACTTGTTAGGTACTCCGACTCGTACTTGACCTGTAAGTTAATTGATAAGTCTATTATAGTATAATAAATTAATAATAGACTTAGGTATTATACTATATTCACCATTAGTATTAGTCATAGTGGCAAAGCAGAGAGTTTTTTTTAGACTCTCCCTCAAGTTCATTTTTGAGTCCTATATGTAGACCACTAAAGTATCCTGGATACCTGCAGTTTCTGAGTTTCATACATAAGAAATTGGTTTAAATCTTGAGTAAATGAGGAAATTTAAAATGAACTGATTCTAAAAAATCTGTGGTTTGTCACTATGGTATTAGTCTTTAAGTTATAGCTAAATAAGACATAAGTAGATTAGAATCCTTAGATAAACTGATTATATTTCATTTATACTCCAGAGTCCAGGATACCGTAGGCGTAGGCCTACAGGCTACTCTCTTTATTAAGGCTTTATGTTTATCAGTTTATGGTCGCATTATGGCACCACTGCAGCTGAATCATTCTTGGCAGTTGGCACTTGCACTTGGCAGTAGCCAGTATTCAGTCTAATGGCTAATGCCAGAGAGGTGAGACCCAAAAGAGGCCAGAGCCAGAGGAAATAGCCTCGAAGTGTCGGATTCGGTGGCAGCAGAACCGAGCGCTAGAGCCCCGACTCCCGAGGGAATTTAGACCGTTTCAGAGTACTGTACGAGTACCTAATTATTTAAAGAGGTATCAGAATTAGGATACTATCACTGTATCACATGCGCTAAGTATCAAAATTAATAAACAAATACAATACATAAAAGCTCCTCTAGATCTCACAAATAGGGTTATTACTTATTGGTAACTTAGCGTCTTAGCCTACTTAAACTCAAAGTCCCGGCAGCGCTGCCGTCGTTGCCCGTCCTTCGCCAATCGCCTGCAAGGCAGGCTGCAGACCCAATTTCAATCCGATGATATCGTGGACTGCGATGTAAGAAGATTGACTATCCTTCGCCGCGGATGAAAATTTAATTGTGGTGGTCAGTGAGAGCTATATCTCAAACTTTTCTTTTTTTAGTCCTCTAAAACGATGACAATGGATAATCGTTTACAGTTTACACTTTACACTATCTATGTTAATTAACCTAAGAAAGCAAACATCGCTTATCGCAGAGATAACAGTTTGAAGGAAGTTACACACCGTCGATAAAAGCGATGCTATGAGATTTTTCTCGCAAATGATGCTGAGCCAAAATTTCTTATGCGCATAATGATGACATGAAAATTTAAAGATCGATGAAAAGCTTTGCCACGATGATTTTTTTTTTGTTGCGCGAGTGCTTTGGAATGTCTAATAGACGGAAACCAATCCAAGATATTATGTCCATGCAGGATCTTACCGCTAATCACATAGAATTACAGGGATAATTTATGATAAATAGTAAGGGATAATTTTCCAGTAAATTTTAATAATTTCATCTTTGAGTGCCCATCTCCGACGTCTAAAATAGCTTTAAATCTGGCGCGCCTCCAAAAAGTTTCCTTGGCGTCGAGGCCATATTCTCGGTTTTCACCTCGGACGCCCACCAATTGGGAATTTGCTTTCACGCGACGATCTCCCACGACACTATTCTTCTTGAAAAAAAAAATACAGAAATCGCATACAATACTACCTATTTCTTATCTTCTAACGTCAAGGTTGTTGGTACCGAGCGGTTGCCTTTCAAAGACTAACGCTGCCTGCTCCCATGAATTTAAGCGATTCTTCCTCGAATAATGTAGCTTCCAACAATTCTAGACTGTCATGTTATTGGCCTCGATAAATAATACATCCATTAAATTAGACCAAGTGGCCTTCAGCAAAAATGACGGGTGGACTATGTGAATCGTGCACCGATCCTTACGAATACTATTAATCAAATCAGAAGACAATGGGTCTTGGAACCAAACTTTACTATGCAAACCAAACCTGTTAGCCAATACTAGTAACGAAATTAAATGAAGTCAATGTTTTTTATACGAGAATTTGTTTGAATGTGTTTTATACGAAATGAAGTGGTTTCGCATTATTTGAAGTACGAGCCCACCAGGCCAGTTGGTGCAGGAGGTTTATTCGATTCCCCGCCTGGTGGTGCCAGGCCAGTTTCATTCAACTTCGCAACGGAGCTACGCTGATTGGTCTGTACGTTGTAAGCTGGGACAATTCGATCACTAGTAAGAGTGCGAAGGGCTGCTTCGGTGTAGAGTTTAGTGGTGGACAGTCATTGCACTGTTGGGTATTCGCTCTAATATTTGGCGGCGTGAAGCGGATAATATTTAATGCAGAATTAAGAGTATTGTGGGCTGGCTTCTGACTCAATTTGCGCTGATTGGGTGCCGCATGGGGCGTTTCATTGCGGGTTGATTTGTGTTTAAAATTAATAGCTCACGGCAGATTTCTTATTCCCCGAGGCGCAAACAGTACGCTACAACCACGGATCGCAAGACGTTTTTCAATAAAAGATTTCCATATAACTTTCAACCTAAGTTTGCCACATTTTTCGATGGGGGAATTGCAGAATTCTAGGTTATAAATTATATAGCCAAAATCTATTTTTAAATGAAAATTTTGCAACTAAAAACGCTTGAACATTAGGAAGAATTAAATTGTTAGGGTCGAAAAAGAATTTAGCGACCAGTTTTATTCGTGGAAGTGAGAAGCGATCCGTCTGACTCCGAAACACTGTCAAGCAGCTCCAGCGCCCATCCATGAGAGACAAACATGACACTATTTATAAGTTCAAAATCTAGGCTTTTCGAATGTTATAGTGCCATGAACTGATATTTTATTCCTAGATTCGAATTAAATAGTCGGGAAAAATCGAAGTTATATTGAAATATGTAGTCAATATATAAAATTATAACAATATAAGAACAATAATTTTCAATAGATAATTAAAACATTCAGACACTCTGATTGGCCGCTTGTATAATTTGCGAGCCGTAGTGCGCAAGTCTTCAAGTCTTTAGTCAGTTTTTGATTTGCTTTACCTTTGCTTACACGTTACGTGAGGTAAAATCAATTGATAACATCACTACCCAGTGAAAATTTACAGACGCGGCAGCTTCTGATTTGGATTACCAGAAGCTGGGGCGACTCTAAATTTTGTTAGGGTAATTCTATATACTGTACGGCAGTAGAAGCAACACACTGAGAATATCGATCTCAGTACGAATTAATGTATTAAAAAAATTATCATATTTTACAACAGATTTTTTTTTAATATCCATTATGCGAGTAAACCTAGAAAATTATATCTATTTCGGGTGCCAGCTCGTGGTAAATGACGACAACTCACTCGTTTTGTCAATACAATTCCGTAAAGTTGAAACGTCAAGCATGTGATTGTCTTACTAATAAATAGCAATTTTTAGCGCTTTTTTTTCATTTATGGAAAAAATGCACTATTGTGCTCGCTATGTCCTTCTGTCCGTCCGTCCGTCTGTCTGTCCGTCCGTGACTTCACGTTTTCGTCGACGAGAAAATGCGCTAATTGTCACTCACTGCAGTGAGTACTGAGTTATATTTTTTTAACTTGTTTTTGCCAACTCTACCTGGTCGCCAATTCTAGAAACCTCCGAATTTCTATAGCTTGGTGGGTTTTGAAATGTAACCAATTATTCTACTTACGTGTTCTTCTACACCCGGCAACCTCGCCGATTTTGACCAGAATTATTACAGCCAGCTAGGATCAGGCCCCCTCTTACTGCTCCATTCTTGATTCCGTCTGTCAACGCGTCCAAGTATGAACGCGTTCAAGAACAGACTAGATAAAGCTATGGAAAAATATATGTTCAGATTTGAAATGCCTAGCACCATACCGAACCCGGTGGAAGTCTAGTAGCTACTTGAAACTATCGTCAGTAATGAAAAGATCCGGTCAAATGAAACGATATTAGATCTTCTGTGAACAAGGCACGAAAACAACGTTTTCGTGAACAAGTTTTCCTTCTGTGAGTTCCAAACAACTTTTTCCTTCTGTGAACAAGGCACGATCCTTATCTATTTGCCACAGTGAAGTCTTCATGCTAAACGTGTGATAAGGGGATAAAAAATAGTGTGATTATTAAGTAGAAGATTAAGTCAATAACAATCAACTTATTGATTAAAAAATCCAGTGAAATATGAGAAGTATGTGCGTGGTTGGCGGCATGGTTGAACTATATAAGGTTGACCCCCGAGAAGTTCCGTATTTCAGTTCAGCTTTCTTGTTACGTCACGTAGATCGAGAAACGTAAACAAACCCGTCATTCCCATGACGGATTGGTTGACTGGTTTGATCGCATTTCGGTGATTGGTTTATGCCCGTGACCTCGCTGAGATCAGCGACGTCACCGGCGGACAACGAACTATATCCGCAAAAATGGGCTTCTGATGGGTCAACCTTATACTAGTTCAACCATGGTTGGCGGTTGCTTTCTTCAGTTGGCTCGTAGCGCGCATGGCGTGCGGATGTACGTCAGGAGCTTGCAGAAAGTTATCTCGACGATCTCGAAGAAGGTGAGTACTGAAGCCCCAAGCAGAAGCCCCAGGGTTCCTCCGATGTCACACAGTAAGGCCACCGCGCTGTATGCTAGATCTTCCGACACTTCATCGAACGTTAGATCCTGACCAAGAATTTTAGTTTGGTTTTAATATTATTCAATCGTTACTCATCATCAGTAGTATAAATGAAATTAATATAAGCAAGCAAATTTTCTCTCATTACGCCAATTTAAAGGTCTTTGCCAGATAATTATTTTTAAATCATTAAGAGAAATGGTATAAATGATTGTTCATAATAAACTTGGTTTTAATAATTAATAATAATTAAAAAAATAATAAGTGAATTTTGTTTAACGATTAAGAAATTCAACGACACAGTAGCTGCTGTAAGGATAAATTCTCAGTTATAAACATAAAACACTCATACAACGGGATGCTTGAGTTGAGCACCAACTTTAATCAGAAGAACAGGATCTGAGATGCAAAATTTAATGCATAACTTATTATTATTTCCTTTAAAAAGGTTTCATAACTTGAAAAGCTTTGCGTGAAGCTAATATTCGAGCCGTCTCTAGCAGAGTCATTATATCTCTATGGAATTACACAAGGCATTTTTTATTCGATCACGCGACCAACCTGGAAGAAGACCCGGATCTTGGCAGAGCGAGGATTCCCTTGAGCGGCTTCATTAAACATCGTGTAAATATCTTCGTTGCACTGCTTGCGGCACCCGCATTCTCCCGCATTCCAGCCCCCCATGAATAATAGCCGCCACTCGCTCTCAAGACTCAGGCGATATTCGGTGCTGTTGCTGCACCAAGAGCCTCCGATTCCTGAAATGCAGGCACTCGTAAATGGTCGTGCAATGCTATCAAAAAGATTGTAACTCCGCCAGCCAATCACTGACGGCTTTCAAGCTAAACCCACCAATCACAGACGAATAATCGGCCGCAACTTGTGCTTGGGTCACTATATATACATACGTGTATTTAAGCGAGATTTGATATTGCAGCCACTGAACACGGGAAGCAGGTGAGCCTGAAGAACCTTATTTCCGACGCTCGTAATTGAGCAGCTGGGTTGCTAGCTCGAACAAGAGGTCGCCTACACGGGACGTCGGCCGCCCGCACGAGAGAGACAGAGAATGGAAATGTAAGGAAGCCTACCTACCTAATAACTTAAATGAGACCAACGGTCAGACACCGCGACCGCGAGCTCAGCAGTGAGGCGCTCAGGAACAATCCCCCTAGGAGCGCGAAATCCCATAGGACTTCTGACGAGCACAGACACACATCAGAAGTCCCCCGTGAGGGGCTGAGTAGTAATAGCGTAAGAATTTACAAGCAAAGGAGACGTGAGTTAAATTCATCGCATCTTCATCGAAAACATTCTGGAGACAGATCCATTCAAGTATAACATAGATAGTAAGACGGAAGATACTGTAATCGCTGAACTTCTAAACCGGGTTAAAGAGCGTCTTCTATGTGACACTGGCCAACGCCGTTTGCCAGTAAGCTCAAAAGTCGTCTTCTATGTGACACTGGCCAACGCCGTTTGCCAGTAAGCTCAAAAGTGTCTACAGCTACAAGCTGTGAAATATTCATCGCCAATATTGCCGGATTTTCTAGCTAGTTTACGTAACACTTGTACGGGCATGCAACATTGTGTGTCGTGAAGGAGATCACTCAAGACGCACCTGTCATGTAGGGCATGCGGCATTCGGTGTCGTGTATGAGGGCGCGAAGAAAGCAAAGCGCAATGCACTGGGAGGAGGAGTATGTGGGCTCTTCCACACACGGGCGCCGGCTGGTGTGCAGTGTCGCGAACTGTGACATCACATACATGCATGGCGTATTAATCGACTAGTGTGAGGTACCACTGCCCTTATTTGACCTACCATGCACTATTCAGATATAAGTTTCACCTGTTAAAGTTGGCGACCGATTTATAATTGGTGTAATTGCAACAACTGACAGGGTGGGTGTCTCATCAGAAAAGTATATTCCCTCCATAAACATTAACATCTGGGTAACCCATGGTTATAATTTAGAATGGCAGTATTTGAGTAGTGACTTGCGCGTTCGAAACCCCGTGCAAGCTCTAAGAAAACTCTGATATCCTGAATCGGCGACAGGCTATATTTGGCCGATTTAATATTAATATCATCCATATTACTATTACTGAGACCTTCTCCTCCACTTTGCTTCTGATATCATCACCTCCCTGACAGCGACTCGCACGTCCTTCCCCCAGCCCTGGTCGACGCTGGTGCCGTGCGTGCGCACGTCGATGACGGGATCGTCCCTGGGGTCATGGATGAGAATCTTGAAGCCCCGCTCTCCGTTAAAAGAGACCTCTTCCTCCATGTCTTGCAGATTCATATACAGGTTGTTGAACTTTCCTGATGATGTCACAGGATTGTCTGTAGGCACACAATTTACAGGTTGGTGTGCGCAACCGTGGACCACAAATTTAACTCTTCAACAAGCCCCGGAGCCAACACCCAGCCTTAATATCTAACAACTGCACTCAGCCTTGAATTTGGAAGCCGCAGACTGCGCTTGAACACCGTAACCCAGACTAGTGACATGTTGATTGAAAATAATTGCGCCGTAGGTCTTCAGCCAAAATATAAGCGTACGCTCTCTATTATGCCTTAATATCTAACAACTGCACTCAGCCTTGAATTTGGAAGCCGCAGACTGCGCTTGAACACCGTAACCCAGACTAGTGACATGTTGATTGAAAATAATTGCGCCGTAGGTCTTCAGCCAAAATATAAGCGTACGCTCTCTATTATGCAGAAAGTTCTGCATCCGGCCTCACCGCCTTACCTAATCCGGCCTAACCTCTTCTCACCACTTCTAGCCTAACCTATTCATTCTTTCCCTGCTCAAAACCTTCTTGCAGCTCATTTTCCCTGCCTCTCTAACTTCTTAAGGCCCGTTTACACTAGTGGCAACGACATGCGCTTTGAGTCGTTTGCTGCAGTGCCTCACCGCGCACAACCGTTCACACTACGTTTGTAGGCGATAGCTCGAGACCGCGCGCAGGCGGCGCGCTTTGAACACTAGTTGCCACCCAGACGTCAATGAGGATGGATGTCACCGAATTTGAGCTGTAGCCATTGTTCTCGGGTGTGCTGAGGTCCGTCATTCTTCGCTCTATGCCAGTTGTAAACGAGAATTTAGCATAGGCATCATAATTAGAGACTAAGCACATTCAAAAAGATACAGTTTATAAAAATATAGTCTATTCTTAAATAAAAAGTTCCAATATTCGTACCGATATTATATCATCCTTTGAAATCGCTAAACGGTAATGCATAAATTGTCAGGAGTTGCTAAAATCACATAAACTAAACACGTCATGTAAAAATAACTTACATCATTTGCATTTCGATTTTTGACTCCTTTGACCGAACACTCCATAGACATTCGTGTTCTCTATAAAGATCAATTAGGCGCTCGGCTAGAGAGTGACTCCAAACGAGTGGTGTTAGTCGACATTTGGTGTGCCGGACCAGCTTACACAATCAACCTTACTAGACCACAGATAGCTATCTACTAACTAAGAATTTAAAAGCATAGAATAGTCCACAAAAATTCATTTTATTCATATCTTTATACAAAACGTTTCGGAGACCAGCTCCATCGTTAGTTCGTAGAATCTAGAATCACAAATCAGAAGTCACAAATTAATACATTGAAACAAACCATAGAACGAATTGAATTTCTTTAATTAACTAATTTAGATTTTTAATTTGATTTAAAATTTTTATTTATTTTAAATTCTTAGTTAATTTGAGATTTAAGCATACAAGTGATATCAATTCTTTAACAGCTATCTACTAAGCGCCGCGCTTGTGTTGCATGAGGCATGGCCCCTGTCAATCGCTAGCTCGTCAATCGGTCAAGAAGCGCATGCAGAGGCTGCAAAGCGCCTCTGCATGCGCTTTGAGGCACTTGATTCTCGTGTGTTGCCCCTAGTGTGAACGGGCCTTTACAGCCAATGAGATTAGGTTAGGTCTGCTCAGGGATGTTTTTGGAGGAAAAATGTTTTAACGTGTGTAGGTTAGGCCAGAACAGGTTATGCCGGTGTAAGTTAGGCCAGATTCAGTATGGCCATCATTACTCTACTAACTTGGTAGAGTACATACGGCACTGAGCTTTAAGCTCTGAAATCCGGGTAAAAATGGTACTCTACTCGCCTGAACAAACTGATGATTAGCAGGCCCTAAATGGGTCTGTACGGACAGGAAATTGTACTGTATTAACACTAAATGGTACGGTACTGGTACAAACTGGTAATTTATTATAACTCACCGGTGCTGTACTGGTAGCACACGCCCATGACAGTGAGCACAGAGCGCCAATGGCCTACTTCTTCGCAACGTACGCCGCGCCCAAACCAGCACTGTCGCAAATGGTTCATGAAATTAAGGATAAATATAATTAACGGCTTCACACACTTCGACATACCTGAACGTAAATTCAAATGCCTAACTAAATTATTCGGTGGGAAATCACGCTACAGAATATTCAAGTCTGATGTTAGCTATCGAAATTTACCACTAAACAACGAAATATTGTGGTAATGATAATAATCTGTGTTAAGAAGCAAGATAGCTCAAATAATATTTCGTTGACTCATTCTTAAAAAACGTTCAAGTGTTTTGGTTATTCAGCGTTTTATTGGAACAACGTTCTCATTGACGAAATTTCACCCATTACTACGCGGCAACAAGCCCCTGAGTGCTGTGCCATGATAGGTCGGACAAAATTTAATGGAGGAATATGTAGTACACGTTAATTCGTATTTTACCACGTTTTTCTTAGCTCGCTTTCGTGTCCCTCTGTGATGATCAAATCTTGCAATCGATATTACATGTTAGCAGTATGTATTAGACACTATTAGGCTTATCCTGGCGCCAAACTATTAAAATTTTGTCAAGTACACGAAGAGGCCGATTATCGCATATGATTGGTGGATTTATCTCGTAAAGCCACCAGTGATTGGCTGACGTAGTTACGAACTCATAACTATTTTGATAGTGTGGCCTCAGACCACCAGTCCTCTGTTTATTGCAACGCGTTCACTGCTAATGCATCATCAGTTGCTGTGATCCATCATCTGCGCCACTGTAGCGCTGTGGCAGTGACAGCGAGATGAGGAGATCGCTAGCCGTGGGTTCGAACCTTGTTAAGCCAAGTTCCTTTTCCCGGTGTCGCTGGTGAGCGACGCATGGTCGCCGTCAAAAGGCGGTGCTTGCAGCATGGACGGACCTGAGTTGGTGTCCCTAAACGAACTCTGGGTACGTGTTACCTGAGTTATCTTAAGGTACTTTAGTCTCACCTCCTGGACTAAGTCCTCTCTGGCATGCTTTGTAAGGTTCCATAATACATGAGCATCCATGCCATTGAGCTGCAGCAGGTCCTTCGGCTGCCATGCCATCACCTCCGTCAGGTTCGATACGCCCTCCTGATTGGCAAGGTCCTGCTGCAGCCGGCGGAGAGCACGCATGCTGTACTCGTTCTTGTTGCACAGCGTCACGTGCGGGAACTGTGCGGTTACCGCGAAAATTAATATTGATAATAATTAACTAATACTTTCCTTGCGTACAAGCAACTATATTAGTCTTGGCATTTTTCAAACACGCATCGCACATCATGTCATGGCACCGAAATGTTACTGATCACTTATGACACATGTCAGTGTTACAGAAGACGTGACGTTCGCTTTCACACGATGGTATTTGTATAAGCACGTAACGCTCATTAATGTTACTAAACAAGTGACGTGAGTGTTGGTAAAGGTTGTGTTTCTAAGCATGATTCATCTCATGAATAACATGCTCCACAAAGAGCACCTCACGAATTAAAGCTCCAACTCCCTTCAACACTCCACGTAACACCTCACGAAACATCACGTGCAATGCCCGTTTGAAATCCTTCGTGTGGTTAATGTCACTGGTCGGCAATTTTGGATTTGAATCAAACACCCCTTTCTTTGAATAATGTATTCATCCCCACCATGAATGTTGTCACCCATCAACATTGCTTTGAAGAGCCTCGGAACGTTATAGGTGAAGCTTTAGGGACTGCTAAGACTCAAGCATGTTCCGGCTAGGAAATCAGTAACAGTTCCTCGTGCCTCCTCTCCATGTCTTCTGATTAAACTCAATATTCATCAAACCCCTGCTCATGGAAACTCCAGGAGGAATTTAATTTAATTTTTCAGTCTTGAGTAACACAGGAAACATTTCAAAAACATTGTTACTCATTGCAACATACTTTTCAACAGTATACGCAACAATCCGCACAACAACACTGTTATAAAAATTACCGGTAAACGGTATTACCAGCGTTTCAGTGGACGGTCGGCACCTGAAAAGAAACACCGTGTCACCGCTTTTATTCTAATTTAACACTAGAAATCCGTAAAACATCTGATAAAAACGGCGAAACAGTTTATTTTCACGGGGCGGCCGGCCACATAGAACGCCAGTGGGACCGTTTTTCGCCGTTTTCTCTAACAGTGAATCCGCGCAACAACCCACGCAACAACACATGCAACACATCTTGCAACATCCCAGGCAATACGCACCCTGAGGCTAACGTTGCGGGTGACCTGCACGTTGACGCTGACGGGAGTGGACAGGAAGTAGAGCACGCGGTTGATCACCTGGTACAGCGTCAGTCCTGACGGAGGAAGGTGTGGCAGATGACGCGTAAAAGTTTGGCTGTGACGTGACACAGTGTGACTGTGGCGTGTCGCAGTGTGACTATGGCGTGTCACAGTGCGGGGTCACCTGCCGAAGACCACAACTGCCTTGGAAGTAATGGACCATCATAATTCCTGCATTTCGGAACGTAGCCTTCAACACTTTTGTACAATCATATCTAGGCCGTGCGTCGAACCAGCCCTCGGTCGAATGCCACTCGTCGAAGAACGATAAATTTTGGAACAGAATTATGCTATCTGACCTAACGTAAAATTAGTAATTACGTAATTTAATCATGCCCGGAAGTCACATTCGATCCGGGGCCTGGTGGTGCACGACAGGTTTTATGTAAGGCCGGAGGTGTACGGCTGCGCTGCCACAGTCACTGGCGTGTCACTGTATGACACGTCAATTATTTCAATCGGTAGAAAATGAACTGACATCATAATATTACTTAACTAAGTCTAATGATGTTGCAATTTACAACATCTTTTTTTGCGCTTATGTGGGACAACTTTCTTTAGTTCTTCTAGATATTATCTGAAAATTGGGTCAGCATCCGGATTCTAAGGCCCAAAGACAGCAGCGCTCTCCACAGCTCATGCGCTGCTGGGCCTTGGCGTAATATTGGGATTTTCATCCAATTTTTTGCCTCTTTGAACTATCCCTATTGACGACATGGATGATCTTCCAGAGCTCTAAGAAAACTTCGACATAAAGGAAAAAATATAACTCAGTACTCACTGCGGTGAGTGACAGAGAGCGCATTTTCTCGTCAACGAAAACTTGAGGTCACGGACGGACAGACGGAGAGACAGACAGACAGACAGACAGACAGACAGATAGACGGACATGGCGAGCACAATAATGCATTTTTTCCATAAATGAGAAAATGCGCTAAAAAGGACAGCGCTCAACTCAGAGCCTTTTTTACTGATTTTTAAGCAGCATTTCCTTCACATCTTTGAGTCTGCTAATCGCCCACATACAATGGAGTGAGATCAGCAGCCGCCTGATACAGGGTAATCATGTCACAGACGTGTATCACAGACTGAACAATCGTATGGCATAATCAAGGCAGGGTAATCGTACGGTTTTGCCGTGCAATTTATCGGTGTTGCTGTTTGATCGTGCAGTTTTGCAGTGTAATAATGCGGTTTTGTAATGTAGCTGCTCGATTTTCAGTGAAATCGTTTGGTTTACCAGTGTAATCGTGCGATTTTAGTGAGTAATTGTGCAATTTGAGAGGGTAAGCGTGTATTGTACTAGGGTGATGAGAGATTTACCTGTGCAAGTGAGCAGCACAAACGTCCACACCACCCGCAGCCACCACGCAGCATCCCGCGTCACCACACGCGACACTCCTGTATGAAATACATGATGTAACAACTGTGACAATTGTCACCACATCAGCTGTGTAGTGAAGCTGTCATCAACATAAATTTGAGGTAGTGTACCACACACCGAAATCCTGTAGAGGAGTTATGATATCACCACCAGAACTTCCAGATGGTATTTTTTCGACCACATTCCACGATTTAGTTTTTTTCAATCGCCTCGTTTGACCTTTTTTGTCCACGGATTTGGCCGTTTTTAGGCCATCTAGCAACCCTTTTTACCACTGTAACAGCTACATGTCACCACTACAGTTATGTAGTAAAGCTGTCATCATCACTAATTTAAAATAATTTTGTTCACCACTGCCCCTGCATACATGTGCTGAAATATAATGGCGGTTCATGTGAGGCGTAGAAGAAGGACCGGTGATCGAGGATGGAGAACAATTTTCATGGCTTTGTGGTGGGTATTTAACACATAATTTGGCATATGTGTCACAGGCGACATATGTCACCACCCACCATATGTCACCCTATGTCACGATATGTCACTAGTGACACATGCACCTGCAGTGACTCTCCGTTTAGGCTTGAAGCAACCCAGTGAAAATTTACAGACGCGGCAGCTTCTGATTTGGATTACCAGAAGCTGGGGCGACTCTAAATTTTGTTAGGGAAGCTCGATACACGTATCGACAACGCGAAATAAACCCTTCATAACACTCTCGATATCACCGCGAGACATTTGGATTTTTTTCGTTGATTAATATGATTACGTTCCCTTTCCATCTGTCATTACAACTATTACTTAAATGAAACCTTCTAATTTTCCTTTTGATTATTCAGGCATTACCATCGCTTATACATGCACAACAGTCCTCCCATTAACCCGGACCACGGCTAGCAATTGCTGGCCTGAAATGTCAATTAAAACCAACTCTTAAGGAATAATTCCCTCGTGATTGTAAGCAGGCCGAAAAAAACAGTTTTACAATGATGTGCAGCATATCAGCTAGTGATATCGGTGAGCTGCTCAAAATTGGTCCCTGGATATCGTCTTGGTGACCATAATCTTGATATCGTCTTGGTGACCGTAATCTGGATATCGTCTTGGTGACCGTAATCTGGATATCGTCTTGGTGACCGTAATCTCTGTATCGTCCATGATGACCGTATAATCTCGAAATCGTTTTGTGAACCGTAATCTGGATATTATCGTGGTAACTGAAATCTGGATATCGTCTTGAGATTTTTAAGTCAGTTGATGCTCACCTGTGATGGACAGTTGTTCAAAATTGGCCACTGGATATCGTCCATCGCGACCGCAACCTTCCCCCTTGGCCACCATCTTCCGTCGCCTGCACCACCCGTTGACTGACGGCGGTCGAGAACTGCTGGATCCTGGGTGCTCGGTGAAGCTCTGAGGTTAAACGAATTTTATTCAACATTATATTCTGGAAATTTTTTTTTTTAGGAAAAATTTTAATAATGGAAACTCGTGTTGCTAACCCAACGATAAAAAATAAAACGATATATCATTGTGAACGCAATTCGTTCGATGCTTTTAACTAACACTTACTTTGCTAAGTCAATTTTTCTTATGTTGGGCTAGCTCATTCAAAATTTGCATCGCGAGGAAAACATGTGCATATTGTTTTTTTTTTAAATATTACTTCTCTAGGTATAATAATATTATACACTAAATAATATTAAAAAATATCCCTTTCTAAATCAATAATGCCTTTCTATATATAAAGCCGTTGCATCAAAATACGTTTTCCTCGCGTAGGGAAAAATTCTAAGCTGTGGCATTAAAGATTTTTACAGACAAGTAATTTACTTAATCATAGAAACTTTTGGATGAAGAATAAAACGGAATAGTAAGTAAATAAATAATCTGCTACAGTTGAAATTCAACGCGTCTAGTAGATGCGGTGAACAGTAAAATGAAAACTTCTTGAAAACGGGCATTCATTGGACAATGACCATTGATCATTATTTTTGCCTTAATCGGTGGATAATTCAAGTTAGAAGAACCGAATTTTAAAATACCGTAGAACTTACCATCTCAGCTCTTTTAAAAGACAAATTTGACACATTCATCGTGATCCATGCAAAAATTTTCATACGATTTAAATTTGAGATTAGAGCCACACTAACGCATCGCAAAAATTTGTGAGAGCTGAAAAATGTCGAACTTAGTTTCGATATATTGATATTCGTATAAGCGTGAGAAGTTAGCGTGTAGTTCAATGTAAACATCGCGTGCGTTCTACTTCGGGCCCGAGCACTCCATGGTATTGGCGCTCCTCCGCACGCTACTAGCGTAGAGTGCAACGTTATAAAATTAGTGAACAGTACACTTAAGAAAATGAGTGAGTCATAGAGGCCAAATATTGCCACACAGGGGCGTCACTAAGTTTTAAGGACAGGTGGGAGAAATACCCCCTGGTTTTAAGGATAGTAGGGCAACATTGGGCAGCGCGGCCCACCCCCTTTTTAAACTAAATATTTGATGAAATTTTAATTGCTACGAGGTGGTTCTTTGTTTTGTTTAAAGGTACAACTAATGCAGAATGTATGATGTGCATTAGACGCCTATAGAGTTATTCAATTTTTAATGATATACTATTTTGTAAAAAGTGTCATTAATTGCCCCACCCTAGGGGCAAGGCACCCACCCTCGGTCCCTTTACCACAATTGAATATTTTTCGTTTAAAAATGATAAAACAACACTTCACAGTTAAAAATAAACAAAAATGTAATACAAAATATGACATTCATTCATTTATTAAAAACTAAAAAAAATCATATCCTTAATTTGAAAAATATATACTCTTGGTTTAAAAAAAGCTTACAGCTTTGAAACATTAATTTCAAAAGCTTCAACTACAGTAATCGAAAACAATTTTTTTTAGCAGCAAAAAAATTTTATCTGGGCTAAAACAGTTATTCACAAACAACTTAATAACGCAAACACTTAGCAAAACGTAAATACGTACACTTCATCCCAGTGAAACTGTCTACCGGCGGTAGAGAACACGGACCAATATCTGCCATACTTAGCGAGAAACCCGCTATGGGCCCGTGACCCGCAGTGGGCTCGCTGCCCATGTTACCCTAACGCTAAGCTCCTCAAGATATATGATCACATTTAAGTTAATAATGACTGATTATGTGATTATTTTTCTAACTTATGAACAGGCCACATAATATTGAATTTATCGGCATTTTTTGCAAGATAATAATTACAATTTAAATAAATCAACATTAAATTATTCAGCGGGACTCAAGAATATTTTAGGGAGTTGAGGCCGCCTCAAATAGGTCTAATGACACAAGGTGACAAACTTTCTCCATGTAGCACCGATTGCCCAATTGTAGGGTTAAACTGTGTCAACATCGCTGCCGCTCCATACTCCTCTCGTCGCTTCAGCTATTCCTTCATTTTTCACTCACCGCTTCAGTCGATTCTTAATTTTTCACTCACCGCTTCAGCCGATCCTTCATTTATTATTCACGGCTTTAGCCGATACTTCATTTTTCACTCACCGCTTCAGCCGATTCTTCATTTTTCACTAACCGCTTCAGTCGATCCTTAATTTTTCACTCGCCTCTTCAGTCGATCCTTCATTTTTACTCACCGCTTCAAGCGATTCTTCATTTTTCACTCACCGCTTCAGTCGATTCTTAATTTTTCACTCACTGCTTCAGCCGATCTTTCATTTTTACTCACCGCTTCAGCTGATCCTTCATTTTTCACTCACCGCTTCAGCCGATCCTTCATTTTTCACTCACCGCTGCAGCCGATCCTTCATTTTTCACTCACTGTTTCAGCCGATCCTTCATTTTTCACTCACCGCTTCAGTCGATCCTTCATTTTTCACTCACCGCTTCAGCCGATCCTTCAATTTTCACTCACCGTTTCAGCCGATCCTTCATTTTTCACTCACCGCTTCAGCCACTCTCTGCATTTCCATAGCCGTGATTGAATGCACTTCAGAACAAGCCTTTTTATAAAAATATATATCATAGATCATAAAACTGTTCATAGATAATAGACCCCCGTTAGTAATTGAGAAGACGTGATTGCAGCAGCCAATCTTCACCGTGATCTTGATTGAAAGTTTGAAACTGTTCACTCAAAACCTTCGCCAACAATCCCTAACATCACATTTAGTATTCAATAAACTGGAATTAATCAATTAATATTTAATTAAAACGCAGAATACACAAATTTTTCTGCATACAATTAATATATTTATCATTAGCAAACATGTAAGTCATTTTCACCGTGGCAGCAGCTCGTGCGTTGTATTTATAAGCACATCGAGTACAGTATTTTACTTAAAAAATTGTGTAGATCATGACATCCAAATAACTATACAAGACTTGCAAATCAAGTTCTTAAGACTGCTTACAATGTTTTATTTTACCACGTTTTTCTTAGCTCGCTTTCGTGTCCGTCTGTGATGATCAAATCTTGCAATCGATATTTTACCAACTTTCCCGCTAGCTAGCGCTCTGAAACTTTTAGGGAAGCTCAGCTCCCGATGACAATACAATAATCAATAATTTGTTGCACGTTTTCGGGCAGATTTATGATTAAAGCGAGAAGCACACAACACACGAATTTTGGAAATTTGATGGTGGACGTACAGCCCGACCCACGTTTTTTGGGGCGAGTCATAAGTTATTTTCTACTTTTTAGTCCACAAGAAAAACGTGTTTTTTTAAGTTTTTTTTTTTAAGTATTTTTCCTTTGTTTATCGTGAAGCTTCAAGACTGCGTCAGTGTCTTGTAAATCTAATGGGGGTACAAATGAATGTTACTCATTTTTAAATGGCTTTAATCCAATTACCTTAGAAGCCCAAAATAAAAAAAAAACAGTGAGATAACACATGTGAAAGCCCTACAATAATCAGATTTCTAGAAATTTGAGTATTAACGGAAAATTTTGTCAATTAGCAGTAATAAGTGCAGTTTGTTTGAGAAATCCATTCGGCAATCGTCTGTGTCATGTCCTAATTGTAATTGCCAAACGTTCTTCCGAAGCTTTTAGTGCAACGAATGCTTTTAGTATCTGGGCACCATGCAGGAGCTGCCAATGTCTGAAGCACCTGCGACGCAAGTCGGCAAGCGACTGATGACAGGGCCCAGTACAGGGCGGCCGTGCCGATGCCATAGTTACCCGCCATTTACTGTTCCTACAGCTGGCATCAGCGCTCTGCGTGAATACCTAAGCCGGGCTAGCAAAGTTCGCTCAATGACACGCTGCAGTCGAAGTCAACGTAGCTGTGGCTTTCTCCCTTGTGATTAGGGAATTTATTTTGAAAAGCAGCCAAAACACTCCTACGGCCCCCGGACTGGCTGTTACGGGTCTTTACCTCTGTTCCCATTCATTGGTTAACAGTAACTGGCGCCAGCAATGAAGTCGGGAATCGTATGGCCCAGCATCGTCTGCAACGCCTGAAATAATTTTACAATAATCGAACAAAGCACAAAGTATATTCCAGCATTGATACTCTACACAAACTAACCGCCATTGTCTATTACACAGCATCGAATTAATCAGCCCCTGAGCAACAACCACAGCTGTCGAAAGGACAACTGGCCGTTGCTCAAACTGAAACCAAACCAAAGACTCTGTTAATTAACATTTCCATAATTTCGCATGCATATTTTTGTAATATGTAAAGGACTGCCACATCTTTTCTTTTAATTCTAAATTAGTTCTTATTTGCAGTAGGTCAAGGACGGCTACAGAGGATAAAGCTACGGCATATTCGATCCGAGACCTGGTGGTGCCTTCAAAGTTTCGCACAATACCTCAGGAGAGCTATGATGATCTGCCTGCCGCAGTACATTGTAAGATGGGTACAGGTCAGGCAGGCTCTGGTATGTATATGAAGTGATACTTAGATGCGACTTTTAGTTTTGGAAGGTCATTACACCCTCGGCTAAAAGTATTCGCTACTTTAATTGGTGGTTTAAAGCTCGTGATATTTCCTTGGTGCTCTCGGTATAGGAGGCATCTTGGCACGTTCACCTGCATTGGTTTCTTCTAGGCTGCTTGCTATTGTATTTGGTTGCATAAATGGTAGATGAAGCAGTCCAATGGAGCAATGATGGTTAGCTTGCGGACGCACTGGACAGAAAAGGCCTGCCGGTCGGTACTCTCAGAATTTTACGAGCCTGCGTTACATCGACCTATATATATACGTCCGCGGCGGGAGCAGTTACGACGCTGCATGATAAAACATTCCATGCATACACGACCTAATAAGAGAAAAAGACTGATATTACGTCACGATTCTTCTGCTGCGTTCTTTGCAGAGTTCCATGTTGATACCCCCCCCCCATTTCCATGCCGCTGTAGCCCATAGCTCCATTTACGGCCGGTCCTTACCGCAAGCCCCACGGACATACGTGAGTGAAAATATCGATCACGTCTCTTCTCGGTCTCTTCTCCAAAACTATTCAGCAGATACTCTTTATAGGGCTCGTCTGATCAGTTTGGTCGTTGTAAAGCTACGGCATATTGGCGTTGCAAAGCTACGGCGTTGTAAAACTACGATTTGGTCGTTGTACGACCAAACGGAACCCCGGTCATTTACGGAACCCCGGCTTTTGGGATCTCACTAGGTTTAGTTCCAGAGGTTCACCATGAATAAAGGGTTTACTTGAATGACTAAATTCTCTAAGATATCAGCAAGATGTTCAAAACAAACAGAGTTGATTTCAGTCTTATTTATTAAATCTTGAAATTAGAGGGAGGCCGCAAGAGGAGTTGCATCGACAAAACATCTGCCAAGTTACCAGAGCTGAGCAGCGCTTTAAAATGTAGCGGCCGCTACCGCTACATGCTCTAAATGTAGCGGGCGCTACCGCTACACCCACTAGATTGTAGCGAGCGATACCGCTACCGCTACAGTAAAATGTAGCGCCGCTACATTAGCCGCTACAGTGGCAAAATTTATGGGAAATCTCTAAATGTTTATTGTTCTGCTATTGGGAATTACTCATAAACATTTAATGATAATAAAACATTTTCAAAACATATCAATGCAACTTTATTGCAATTAACCTAACCGAACTAGTACGGGTTAGATACGGTAAATAAAAGTTACAGTTATTTTTATGTTTTACCTTCCCTACATGGATGTCTACTTTGATCTATCAATCTCAAAAATTATCCACATATCCATATAAAAAAACCGGTCTTTTATTTGTATATATATGTGGATTATTTTTGAGATTAGTAGATTAGAGTAGACATCCATGAAGGGAAGGTGAAACATAAAAATAACTGTAAGCAAACTGAAACATGAAAAATACCTGTAAGTGGTAACTGGTAACAACTTAACAAGCAACAATTAACATGTTGACACTAGTAACAGGCTGAGGTTGACAACATTACACCGAAATCTTTCGTACAGTTTTATTCTGTAATTTATATTATGTACGGTATGTATCATGCTGGTTTTTAAATAATATTTAATACTATTAAGTAAAATCTAAAGGCTTTATCTATAAATGTAGCGGTAGCGTTGTAGCGGCAAAACCTCGTATTGCTACTTAAATATGTAGCGGGCGCTACCGCTACATTGCCTTAAATGTAGCGCCGCTATCGCTACCGCTGCTGAAAATGTAGCGCGCTGCTGCCCACCTCTGCAAGTTACATACATGCACAGAACAGATTCATTTAATAATGCTGATCGGACGAAAACATAATCATTACTACTTTGAATTTAAGTTGAATAGTTTAAAAAAATCATACATTACTCGCACAGATGCTAATGGCAGTTATCTATAGGATTGCCTCTGGCTACTTAACTATCATCTCACTATATTTTAATATGATTAATCATATTTTCAGATCTTATTTTGAACGAGACAAAAAGCAGGCATATTTATTATTGCAGGGAGCAAAACATCACAATACAATGATGATTATAAGCTTAATCAATTATATGATTATATAATGATTATAAGTTTCATAAGCTTAAACACTTAAGCTTTAACACTTAAACAATGATTATAAGCTTAATAAGCTTAATCAATTTATAATTATTTTCTCAGTTTCGAACTCAGTAATAAACAGGATGAGTCAGTTTATTATTATATTCCTGCTGTCATACCACTCTTTATGAACAATTCGCATGCATCCATCGACGTGAATGAGTGACAAAATTCTAGATTCACTTAGTTTGAATCATTTAAAAGATTGGAGGTCAATTACAAAAATTATGTTTAGAAAAAGTAAGACTTAACTAAACGATAATTTATGTCTCATCATAACATAACATAACATAACATAGTGATGTCGGCTCTGAATCTAGAATTTGTCGGGAATAAAACACTTGTACTAGCCGTTTTTCTCACTATTCGCACAATTTTGATTGAACTGCACTAACATTGAACCTTTCACTGAAATCGTTTCGGTACAAAATTCGCGAGATAAGTCAAACCGGCATAGTCAGAAGTGAGAAAGTTGGGACCCGCAAACACTACGTGCGTCCTCGATCACTGCCAGAACTCAACAATGAACTAGTTTGCCGTATATTCTGTGGGAATATCAAGGCAAAATAGTGAATGGCATGGGAAAATAAGGGAGCGCAGCCGAGCACCACCAATTTTGTGCACCAATAAGCCCTGAATCGAACGCCTTGGATATCTCCGGACCTACACCAATCAGCCGTGCACCACTCGGCTTTGTCCTCTTCCGGCCTTGACCGCTACCTGCCGTGCACCACCAGGTCGCGGATCGAATATGACTTCCGGGCATCGTTAAATTACGTAATTTTACGTTCACCGCATCTGAGGTGAGGTTTCAGATAGCATAGTTCTGTTACAAAATTTATCATCATTAGACCATTTACTGGAAATGAATAATTAATTCAGCCATGAAATAAATGACCTAAAAAATGATAATTACTCACTTCATCAAAACCAAGCTTCGAATTGAAGGTAAAATATATTGAACTTAATTTTAAAAAAGGTCACAATACGACACTTAAGTGAAGTTGCGTCATCTTACTAGGATGTTCATATAAATTACGTGTGCTAGAGACTCTGAAGCGGGGAGTCATACCATGCCTCCGTCCAACTTTCAGTGCGAAGCAGAAATTATTGGATTGAGCATTGAACATCGAAGCCTATGACGTCTGTCATCTGAAGCATAGTAATTAGTACGTAGTTACTGCCGTAGTTATTACGCAAAATTGCAGTTTATTCAATCGATTCAAGATTTGAGTTATAATCCTATATGTTTTTAACGAAAAAAAATCAAGCATTATATCCATCTAATTTCAGCCAACTGAGCCCAAGTGCATTTGCATACTACCTAGTCAAGTGGTGTTTTGACGAAAAAGTATATGACATTGAGAATTAGTTATCTTATTTTAAATCGGAATAAAGAATTGCTGAGTAAATCAGAGGTATAGCATTGTAAATTAGTGACTACCAGCAATCAGCATGAAATCCAAACCACTGGTAGTGGTGCTGGTTTGTCTACCTTTATTTTTGTTCAATTCAGTTGATGCTTGGTTAGGAGAAAGTTCTGTCACTAAAGTTCTGCTAAAAGATGTGCAGGTAAGCTCTAAGCAGTTAAGTGTTAATTAATTAATGTGGCTACAAAATTATGTAAATATGACTTACCTAGCTACTACATTTAAAATTTTATAGCTCTAAATAATTATGATTAATGTATTTTGTTTTGATTAAAAATCCTGTAGCAAGTTTAGAAAGAAGCAAGTTTTTACTGAAATTTTAGCACTTCAAATCTCCCAGTCCTAGAAGATTTTAGGTCTGAGAACCTGTTTGTGAAGAATTTAAAAAATATATTTAATGATTTTTTTCAGGCACTTACTCTTTATGCTGGCAAAATGACCAATGGACGTCGATCAGCTGCAGTTCCTCAGTTGGAGTGTGTAACAGGCAAGGATTGGCTAAATATTTTAATAATTGCTTTTTGCAATTACATTGCGTGTCATTTCATTGCAAGGCAAATCATATAATATCATTAATAAGGTGTGATCATGCTTTGCTCAATTATTCAAACTTCACATGATGAATCTGTCAGACAAGTGTTTATTTTGCCTGTCCAGTGTCATATTAATATTTACTGAAAATCATTCAAAATTGCCCAAGAATTCATTGATAGACTCCTTTTATGATAAGAATGGCATGATTCAATGAAATTCCTACTACATATATTAAATGAGGCTGTTTTTTCAGTTTCCTGACCCCAAATATCTTCTGGTGATGATGAAATTTAACTCAATTAAAGATTCCTGTTTGAGTTCTCTCAAATCCTAAATGTATTCATTCATCTGTTTTGTACATAAACAGCAAGAATAGGCAATAGCTCTCTCTATGATAAACTTTACTAAGTTACATCTTAAAGATGTCTTCAGGATCAGGTGTCCTAGTTTTCCCTCAATAGGAGCTACAAAATTGAAAGCAGTTATCAAGTACCAACAACCCAATGGTGTTGGCACCATTGATATTCTGTTAATATTACTAATACGTAACTTTATTCAGTTTACATTTTAGATGGAAAGCATTGTTGTGGTAGGTTACACATAAAATAAATTTGTAAATAGTCCCTTTTGAGCACAAGACTATTTGAAATACTATCTCAGTCACCCATTAAAAAATCTGCAAGATCTGTAGTTGAAATTTAATGTTAAAGATGGATTTAATTGTGCAGGAGGAAGTGCACCCTGCAGCACCTTCAAGCCTCGTGTTGTGCAGTGCACAAACAAAGGCTTTGATGGCATTGATGTGCAGTGGGAGTGTAAAACTGATATGGATGGCAATGTCAGGTAAGACCTGAATCATGCAACTATTATGGTGTAGATCATTTATATTTACTTTGAACAGCGTGTCTGTATCAGAACTATAGAATGATTTTTTGTGCAGCTAAAAAGTCTATGCTTTGAACTATGTACAAACGTGTAAGGGCTATTAAAAAATTTCTGTCTAGATGCTCAGTGGCTTGGTTAATGTTTGTGGATTGGAAAATGAATTTATGTAGTAACCAGGGAAGTAGTTTGTGTATTATATGTGACAGAAAAATGATGAAAACTTATTAACTTAACTAAGGCGAAGCCTTGAGGGCTTCAGTAAGTCATGACAAATTTAGAAAAGAAAAAATAATATCTGTGCCAATATTGAAATATACCTATAAAAATTGGGCCTAAATTCACATTGGCATTAGTTATCATGCTCTAAGTATTTTGAATACATTAAAAGATTAACTTTTCTGCCACCAAATGTAAAATTTATCATTAGAATAGAAAATTTAGCAACTATCTCCACTTGAGATTAATGAATGCTATTACCATATAATATGTAAAATATATGCTTACTGTGGGTGTAAATTCTAATTTTGTTCATGAAACAAAAGATAAGTTTTTTTTTTGCACTTGGAAAAGGGCAAAATAAGTACCATAGATTTTTTCTGGTTAATTCATACTATAGAAGACAGCAATAATTGGGCATATGATGCAATAATTGTATGCTATGTCGTGGCACAAAATGCCCATTTGCCTATGCTCCTTCAGAATGTGTACTTAGTTCAATAATATTTTGGCATAGGACTCACAGTTGAAGTTGCAAATGTCACGTACGGTATATACCGTAAAATGGGGTAACTTAGACCGGCGGGGTAACTTAGACCACTTTTCGTTTTTTAACAAAAACCCCCACAACTCAAAAACTATTTGACATAGGAAAATTTTGTCAATGGGCATTAAAGGCCTAATACTGAGGCTACATAACACCTGTCTCTTATACACATCTAGATGTGTATAAGAGACAGCTATATATATACTATATATATATACTTTACTCAATTAAGCTAATTTAGGTCTCTAATTGCTAGTTTTTATGATTGTATCTGAAATTGTTAGGCGAAAATAGCCTGCATGCCGAATTTCAGATCTCTAGAGCAATCAGAAGTGGGCTAATTTTCGTTGTCAATGTTAACAACAAACAAACAAACAAACAAACAAATAAACAAACAAACAAACAAACGCGAAGCTAAGCTAAGAAAAACGTTTTAAAAACGTGTTAACAATAACTATTAAAAGTGGTTCAGACTCTGGATAGTTATTTTTAGTCTGCTTCAATAGTTTGACATTATATTGGGTGAGTAGAACATCCTCTTTCCTATAAAGTGATGAGATTTTAACAATTATTTTCTGTTAAAGATCAGCAGCCATACAAGTTGGTAATGTGTGCTCATTTTGTGAATATTGTGATAAATCTCAACAATTGAAGAGAAAACAACTGTGTACACAATTGAGACAATATTTGATGGTAAGCATAATCTGAATATAGTTGTCTTTCTGTGCAGGTTTGGCCACATAGACGTATCATGTGAAGGCTATGACTATCCAGAAGATCCTTATATCCTTGCGGGGTCTTGTGGCCTGCGATATAGTCTGGACTACACCAGAGACGGTAGTAAGCAAGGACATGACTATGGGTATGGGCCGAACGAACATTCAGCTGGTGGAGGGTCTTATGGCTGGAAAGATGACCTCTATGGGGGAACCAAGACTGCTCAGTCGCGCAGCTTCACAAGTGGCTTTGCTGACTTGATTGCTTACTGTGCTATGGGACTCATGGCCTGGGCCTTCTACAAGACCTGCATCAGCCCTCCGAGGGGCACTGTTGGTGATCGCTCGGACTCTACCACCAATGATGACTACCCTGCTGGTGGGGGAGGAGGTTATGGGTGGAACCTTGGTGGTGGAGGTGGTTTGGGGGGAACTGGAGGTGCTGGTGGTCACTACCAAGGTTACGATGACGCCTCTTGCCACGCTAGGAGGAACGCAGGAGGTGGTGGAGGAGGAGGAGGTTTCTGGACAGGAGCCGCTGCTGGAGGTCTTCTTGGGTACATGCTAGGGGGTAACCGCCAAGGAGGTGGCCATTACAATAGGGGTTACAACAGAGGCTGGTTTGGAGGTGGTGGTGGTGGAGGGTTTAATACAGGGGGTGGTGGCTGGGGAGGTGGAGGATCAGGTTTTGGTGGAGGATCTGGCACCAGGACCGCTTCAGGGTTTGGTGGAACTTCTCGGCGATGAAATTCTTGAACTGAAACTTTAGTTACGAACTGTCAATAGTTTGTCACTCCTTCATTTGTGATGTTTTCTTCTCATGGTTACAGAGATGAGTAAAGCTTAGATTTTTTTAGTATTCTATCACTGGCCCTTGTGTTCAAATCTGTAAGCATTTCTTTTTTTAAACTCATTTTTCATCAAAATCCTGTAATTTTTATGTAATAAAAATAGCTTTGGATTTGAAAGGTGTTACAGCAATAGTCCTTTTGGCCGACTTGCTCTACATTTTGTGTTGATTTGGGAAATTTTAATGCATGTATATATTGTTTTGATTGAACTATAATGACATTTATTTCTGCTGAAAACTATTACCATGTATGTATTGGAAGATGAATTTAAATATATTCTACAAAAAACTTTATTTTTGTTATGAGATGGAAGAAAACGTACTCATTTTGCTCGGCAGTTTGATGTCAAATAAAATCGATTTCCAAGCAATTAGAAGGTTCGTCTAATACTTATATGTATCGCTATAATCATAATAGGCTTTTGAGGAATAATTCAAATAAATTAAATTATATATCTTATTGAAAAAAAGAGAATCGTGCGAAAAACTTTTTGTCGGGAAATGAGGTATTGCTAATTTACTGCAAATAGGATGGTTTTGCTGAATATTTTTTCAGGCACGAGTGATGCGCGATTAACAAACTTTGCTCTAGTCACATCGTTTCCACTTATTCAGGTCTGGTTTTATTGATCAGTTATGATCATGAGTCTTGCTTACATTTGTCCAATATTACTTTTATAAATGGTCCAGGGATGGTGTTTATTCGACGATCCAAACATTTATTAATGAACTCGTTTTTTGTCCATTACTCAGTAACCAGCTTGACTTAATACAATGCTAGGGAATATAAAGTTTCGTTCACAAGTGTACTGATTTTAATGTTCAGGCTCCCACTATATTGTATTTCATGAACGTGATTGTATTTATTCATGGCAAGTTCATTGCATGTATAACGCTTGATGGAACAACAATCCTCTTTTACTTATTAATTTGTCGAAATGTGAGTGTTTCTGATCAACACGTGTCCTTCTTTAATAGATGTGTAGATGATAGCTCGCTTATTACCCAACAAATAGAATGTATAGATTCAAATTATGTTCATTGCGGATAAACAAAGAGGAAGTGAATCACTGCGATTGATCATATTTGTAAAGTGTGAATGTTTTGATGAAATTAGGTTTATTTCGATCACCGATATTGTATCGTTTGTACCCATCACAGTGTATTATTGTACTTGTATTTATCACTTGAAATAAATTTTTTCAAATTTAAAGCTTGAAGCGCATATTGATTTGAGTAGTGGGCTTTACAGTGATTTGCATTCATTAATTAAGATGCGTTTTTTGTTGGAGTAGAATAAAAAATTCATTCCTGAAGTGAAAAACATGACCTACGTGACTCTTCTGCGAACGTGATTGAAATGATTAAGCTTGTTCTAATGCTTGTACTAGAGCACACTTCTCTAATATAATGGTAATGGCACATGATGCTTACCTAGGCAATGTTTTACATTCTTATTGCGTGGGCATATTCCATCATGAATGTTACAAGAACAACGATAAGCAATTCCACACTGAAGTGTCTCCTCCATTTATCTGGTAGATTAACTGCACTTAATTTTTTCTTATAAGTTACATGTAACCTTCGTTGAAAATTGACATCGCACGATTTCACGGTAATTATGCAGAATCGACATACCATTCGTTTATCGTTATTAGATTATAATGAAGAGTGAGTTTATTTTCTAGTTTTTCAATTATTCGCCGTCAATGAGTATTGCAGGTGAAACAAATTATGCATACTCATATTTCTTTGTTCTGGCGACTTTGACATTCTGCTGAGTAAGGTAACCTCTCATCAATTGGGTCGCAATTCTTACATTCATTAAGTAAATAGGAAGCAAAATCGGAACATGTCTAGCAATTTTGTTCCCTTGTCTGGCAGTTGCTCATTGTGGAAGCTGTCATGCTATTTTTGATTAGCAAGTATGTCCTTTAATTTATTTCAAAAAGTAAATTGTTAAATCTCGGCCAAGAGCTAACAAAAACTGCCGATAAAATGATGCTGGATCAAGACTTGGGTCCTCAAATCTATCAAAGAAATGAGGTTCGCATTTCCTCTAAAAAAGGCAGGTTTCCCGGATGTAGACAGGAGTTAACTGGGGATAATGATGCGGAAAAAATTCCTCGGCGGCTTTCGGGGTATACATTGGAATTCCACTAAGAGAACCCCTAATACCGTAAAGTAAAATGGATATCTTGGAATACTCGTCGAGGTAGTTGCAGAGAAATCGTTATCTAGCTCACTTAACAGTAAATCGCACAATGCTTCTAAGTATTGCACGAAGAATTTAGGTGTTAAGAAAACTCGATTTGACTGCATAGGCAATAAAATTGAAATATTTGCTTGGAAGGAATCAACGCACATTTGCACTTGTTCGGCAAGAGCTGGGCTTACATTGCTAAGGTTATCGAAACGTCATGGACAAAACCAATAATGCTATCGTGTTTTCTACAAATTTGGACTGCTCCTCACATTGAAAGATAAAAAAAATCACACACTTAATAATTCATGCTAATCAACCTTTAAGCGACACATTTCGAGGCCTCAAAAATGACAGAACTTTAGAAATTTTACTAAGCTGATTACGAAGCAACGCTGGTTTAAAATATTAGCCGCAAAAAATGAAAAGATGATATTTAAATTTTAATAAGCTTGCTAATTTTACAGATTTTTTACCAAGCAACGCTGGTTTAAAATATTAGCCGCAAACAACGAAATGATAAAAAAATTATATTAGTGAGGTCAGTCGCTTGTTCCAGCTTTTATATGCATGTATGAAGTAGTCCAATCGCACAACTATCAGTGCTAATAAAAAGTAACAGACATCAATGACTCGCGGGTCTTGCATTCCGGCAGCCCAGAAATACAATTTTCCAACATTTGGCATAGATGGATACTTTGGATGGCATTTAACATGCGAAGTTCTGAACAATAATCTGTCTCGTATCGTTTGACAGTAAACAACTCATTTTTCCACTAAATGCTTGAAAAAAAAACTCATTTGGAAAGCACGGTAAAGAGACTACTCAAAATCCGTTTTTAAACTACTCAAAATCCGTTTTTAAAACTATCACAATTCCTTCTGTTTGAAAATGCTTTGCATACAAGCCATTTGATACCTGAAATACCTCAGTGAAAGTATTTATTTTAGATTTCACTGCATAAATAGTGAAATACATAAATAGTTACAAAGGAATTTCAACATGTGTCTCCAACAGCCGTGTGAACGTTGGACCGCATTCGGATTATCATCCTTGCGACCTTTTCTGATTTTAACATCTTAAAAAAAAATTAGTCATGTGATAACCGCAACAAACGGAAAGGAATTATCTATACTCGAACAGGTAGTTATTTCCATTCAGCATAGTATTTTAAAGCATGTCGATATACGGTACACATAAAGAAGAAACACCCGGTTACAAAAATGGGAGTGTATTTTCAACTGCTGCGTTCTTTCTTTCATTTAAGTTTTAATTAGTTCTACTTACAAACTCTCCTTCCACAGTTGCACGCGTGAATAACTGATGGTCTGCGAGAGATTTCCTCTTTGCTACTTGCGCACCATAGAACGAGGTATTACAGAAAATATATCTTCGACTCAGTGTTAATTACTCCATGCAGTAAAATGATCGATGAAAAATAAAGTCCAAATGCACAAGAAACAGATGTTGAAATATATGATAAAACATGGAATTTGCTTAAAAAGTGAACAAGAGGAAAAATTGAATAGGAACCATGCTACATTATTTTCCTTCAGGTGAACAGATCGCGTCTGTAAGAGACGGCGTCACTCAACATCAGGCGAAGAATAACATTCATAACTCTACGAGAGAAGATCATGGAGGTCGAACATGAAATTGATGTAAGGCTTGAAGCAATACGAGTCAACACCTACGCCTAATGTTACCTCGATAACATTCTCGAGTTTATGGAACAGTTAAAATCATTTTTATTCATCACTAATACGTACACCCTTCATTTTTGTCACATTTGGATTTAGGAATGAACGATAGATGAATTAGGTATTCGTGATCGGAAGGTTTCTTGAAAAAATAGGTACAGTCCAGAGGTGTTGACCCGAGGCGAGTTCGGTCATGGCGACGCTCATACGAGCAAACAGCTGAACAAGTGACTGGAACGCAACTGAAGCATCAACAGCCATTGAGCAATGCTTATTATACGTAGAAGTTATGGTATGGCTTCTAAGTGAGAACTCTAGCGTAGTAACACACGCAATTGAGAGAAACAGTCTAGGTTTAACTGATTAGATGACTACCAAGGCAAAAGAAGTAAATCTACACTTGAAAAACACAAATAAATAAGGGAACTATATCATTACGCGTCAGCCAGAACATCACAAAAAATTCAAAGAGCGTAACCCAATAATGTTAAGATTGAAAAAGCTCAAGATAAATAACGATCAACTTTACAACGAATATATTCCAAAATTCTAACGGAAGACAATAGCTATGAACTTTTACAGAAGGAACTGTTAGACTTGATAAATAATGTGCCTTGCTCTAGCTTTGACGAAGAGTTCGTATCATTAACAGGAAGGCTTGCGCTGTCGCTGCCGCCAATCCCGCTGTCGCTGCTGTTGTGCGATACATTATCAGTCACTGAAGCTCCTCCACAGCAATTTTTATCAGTCAATTCACTGGAAACGTCATTAGACTCTATAGAGAGATCAGTACAGTCCACCAATGGATCAGCTGACTCTACAGATGGATTAACGGACGTTAGGGACGGATGAGCAGACAATGCGGACGGATTATCAGATTCAACGGACGAACCAGCAGCAAAAGCGGGTGTTTCTACGTAAGGACACATTTCAGGAGATGACGAACCACAATTTGGTATTTCACCATCACTGCAAGCAGAGCTACGACGCAGTTTTGTTTTACGGATGGCTCCTGTGGTCCTGCAATCTTTGGTATCATCTGCGGTTTCAGCTTTTATCTCACATGATGAAACGTCGTTGGTCGGGCGAGAAGACACAGCATTCCATCCCTCGGCCAAAACCTTGTCGAAAATGGCCTTGACTTGCGGCAGCGTGGTGCGCAGGGTTAGACAGAAGCCTTTTGAAGCAGGGATAAGAGGGAATTCCGGTAGCACTGCTTGCTGTTCCTTGTCAGTGACGATGCTGCGGTACGTATTGGGAGTCGTGGGAGATAAAGGATGGGCAGCGTTGTGCCCTTCCGACACATTCAACCAGCGTTCCAAGCGGCTGATGAGGTTACCAGCATTTGCGTTAAAATGCTCCAAGATTTCTTCTTTGAAGACGGACGGAGGATTTTGAAGCATGCGTGCAGTGGCTTGGATGAGCTTGAGGAGGACCATTTCGTTGTACATGCGACTATTTTCGTGGCCTTGTTGACTGCCTTTCTGGCGTTCATATCCGGCTTCATTAAAATAAGGTTCGCTCACTAAAATAAGACCCTGAATTGAAACGATAACTTGAAGCAAATTGCTTCTGTGTGTCCATACTTCGGTTCCCTTGCCACTCCACGTGCCTAGTAAGGAGATGCAGACCTTGCCATCTTCATACAAGTTAGGATTAAGGCGGTCGGAGCAATACGGGACGTAATTGCATAGAGGAGGAGCATGAGGATAGTCAGCCGAAAGCTGAAAGTCGAAGAAGAATAGACCGTCTTGGTACGGTGTTTTGGCAGGTCCTCGTATCATGACTGAATAGAGATCCATGCGATCTTGGTATCCACGAACCCAGATGCCACCCGGCAGAGAAGATTGCAGTAAGCGTATCTCATTTTTAACAGTTTTGTAGAAAAGGCTTGGCTGGCTTGGCTGTAGCATAGTCAGTTTGAACTTGTGCGTGTCAGGCGCGGTTTCCAATAGAGTAAAACTACCGCAATCTGAGTTCGAGGGCAAGTCGGAAGAAATATGATCGACCAAGCCGCTCTTTTCTTTGGTTTCTAAGGCATCACACGGTATGGTACTCTGAGATTTCGCTGAGCTCACAGTGCTAAGCGAAATTTTAGTGGATAAAATACCTAAATTCGGTAAAGTTTCGGCGATGGACAAATTTCTCTCAGTTATATCAGCTTCATCATGAGGTCGCAGCAGCTCCACTCTGATGGCCTCCACACAGCTCGCTATGAGCTCCTTCTGGTCAATAGACAGTGTTTCCTCAGGACCCGCTTCTTGTTTCTGAAAATCGGAAGAAATTAGATTTCACAGGTTCAACACTTTACAAGTTCCAAATAAACTGAAGAAAAAACGTCACAGAAGAATAACTTTGAGGCTAAAACTGAAAATACACGAAATTATCTGTCAACTATATAAATTATATCATTTAACAGATAAACGTAAATGCTACTCTGTCGGCTCTATAAACTATAGTAGTTTCCGAATCTAATTAATAAAATCACACTTGCAAAGCCAAAAATTTAACATATTGGAATTCGCCAGGTTCAGACAAAATGTATAAAAATTACCAGGCTGGACTTGAAGTAAGAATGACAATTTTAACTCAGTGAAAGTGTTTAAGTTAAAATGTTAACATTGGTAATGGTCACGTTATTCGCTTCTATTGTGTAGAGCTGTATCAATGCTGTGTCACTGATGAAACATCGATGCAAGGGAAATTTACCCACGAGATAGAAACACAAACTCTTACCAACTCCGACTGGATGTTGCTCATATCGAAATGACCTCCGTATCGCGAAACCACTTCTTCGTAGGTCTTGAGGAGCTGGACTTTCATCATTGAACAAAGCACGGTACAGATGGAAGACGCGTCAGCGCCGTGGGCTTCTTCAGACGGCGGTAAGCCGTCACCTTTGATTGAGACCTCCTCAGTTGAAACGTTCTCGTTTCCTTCCTTTGGTGTTTTGATGGACGAGTTTTTGATGTCATTGCAACTTTTCGAGTCCTTGATGTGGGACGTCACAGGCCGTTTACTCTTGTTCTCGAGACCAGCGTGGTGGTGGATAAGCATATCAGAATCGCTCAGGCGCTTCAGTAGAGCTCCGCTACCTCCAATCGATCTAGAACTGCTCTTGCTGGAAGTCCGGCCTGACGTGTTACAATCTTCTCGCACGTTGCCATCTTTTGGTCGATCTTTCTTGGCTGAAGCTGTCTTCACCGTAGTTTCCGTGATCTCTACTGGCAAATCGGTGGCGATATTCTTTGGGTTAATACAAGAGACATCTGAGACAGCTGTTTCAGTTGAAATGGTCGATTCATGCGTACTGTTATCCACGATAGCCCCCCCAGAAACTGGTTTATTTTTCGATAACTTAGAACGGTCAGCGTTGTAGGGAGAGCCATTAAACAGTCTCTGGACTTGCTCCGCCATTTTCTGGTTAGTGGAAAGGCATCCGCGCTCGCGGACTTTCTCAATGAGACCCGCGAAGTTGCTCTCGTGGAAGAAGCGCGTCGACATGAGTTTGTCCATGTACCTGTAAGAAATAAATTAACAATCTGAGACCCAACAACTGTAATAATACATAGAAACGAAGTTGTTGATGAATTTTTTGGCCTTAAGCATATTGATCGAGGAAACGAGTACGCATCAGCACTCGACAGAACCCACAATTTGATATATTAAATAAGATTACTTTCACTTTTTAATTCTTTATGGACACCGGAAATTTCAACCAAAGCTTTCAACTTCTCCACTTCTTCACTCTCGCCATTGGGAGCGTGTCTGCATTGTGGCTAGATCCTTCTGGGAGGGCCAAATTGCCCCCACTTTAACCTCACTGGGGAGCCGTGGGGAGATGGCTCCCCAGACTGCTGCGTCCTGGGAAGCGCTACCCGGTGGGCTTGGACCAACGTTTATTTACGATGGGGGACCTGGAGCCCCAGCAGCCAGGTCCCTGTACTTTCTCCTCCTGCTCGGTGGTGACATCGAGCCAAACTCGGGCCCCACTTGCATCACGCGTATAACATTTTCTCTCGCGGGTGGGAGATGTTATACGCGTGGTGGGTGTCTTGTGCAACAATTGCAGATGCTGGTTCCACTTCAAGTGTACCTGGCTTCCAACATTAGTCACCTTACCAGCAACTGGTTCTGCTCGTTGTGCCTCCAATAGGTCGACACATCCGCGCCGCAAATCCCACTCGCATACCACATCAAGCCCTATGTAAACCCACCTCCCCAGACATCACCTTCTGCACACCATCACTCTTACACAGGATTTCATGTAGAGCGGAAACAGACCTCTCATCCGACCTCTGACCAATTATCATCACACTGCTTTCCACCAGCGACACCAAATGCGCACTTCGCAAACTATTCACAATTACAAGAGAAGCTCGTGGGAAGACTTCACCAGGGAAACGGAGGCCCACTTCCGGAAGCTGAACACACAACCCATCACCAACAATGATCACACCCTCACCCACTTCAGCACCGTCATCACCGAGGCAGACAAGAAATATGTCCACAAGTGCAACAGGAAAACTATAACCCTAATTTCACACCTGATATCTCCCGTCTCATTTGAACACGCAACAACTTACGACGCACACCAACACTATACTCACAGGTAACTATAGACCACATCCATGAACTAAATGGGATGTCTCAATAAGGAATAAACAGAAGCAGCGCTGGGAAGAGTTTGTGGTGACAATCAACCACAAAGCTGACTCCTCCAAACTATATAGAACAAACCGCAGCCTCACTAACTCCAACAGTGGCCTAACAACATTAAAACTGGCATGACAGGAATTGTTTATGTCGCAATAATGTCGGCATGGCCGCGATATTTCATTTGTTACTCCCACGAGGTGGGTGGCAGGCAAGAAGAAGAGACTATTACACTGGCCTCATCCCATCTCACTCAGCTATTACCACCTCGGATAAGAACCCTTCACGAAAACAACAATCCAACATATTAATGAATCTTTATGCCAATATCAGTCATCTACATTATGCCAGAATCAGTCACCTATATTATGCCAACATCAGTCACAATTTTGTCCTACTCACAGACAAAATCTACAAAGCAACGCTACATAACAACACCAGACGCTGTCTTGCTGACTACTTAACAGGCAGACCGTCATTCGTACACAATGGCAAGTCACAAAGAACATACCGAACTGATTTCTGCTAGGATCAGTCCTCTCACCAACACTTTTCAACCTTTACATGCACGACATTCCAGCCCCACCAGACAACATTCACATTTCATCCTTCGCCGACGACATCACAATTACATCAACACACAACAATGAAAACACATGCTCCACACAAGTACAACCTTAAATCACACAACTAGAGGGCTGGCTAGCACGCAACAGACTCAAAGTAGCCCCCACTAAATCAAAAAGCACACTACTAACAAGCCACACAAAGGAGCACCAACACAGACCCACAATCACACTAAACAACACCATCAGACCACACACACATGAAACCCAGAGTCTTTCGGGACACACATACAGAACATCAAAATAAAATGCAGACCTAAAAAAATGCAGAAAACCCTACAAAATGCAGACCCAAACACTCAGAGCCCTCACAGGTACAATATTCGGACAGAACAAAGAAACCCTCACACTAGTGTACAAACAATACATACGCTCAATGCTGGACTAGGCAAGTCCAGCCTTGGCACCCATAATTTCACCTACACTTCACAACCACTTACAAACCATACAAAACATAACACTCAGAATCGCACTTGGCAGCACCCAAACCACACCATCCAACCACGTCCACGCAGAAACTAAAGTCCTTCTTCTGAAAGAACATTTAGATTAGGCACCTAATTCCTTTCATCAGCACTCTGCAACCTCCTCAACCCCTGCCATCACTTTAAGCAGTTACCCCTTACACCCAGACAAATATCTAACACTCCATACAACTACAATCTCACAAAACCAACACCTTACACCCGCCCACAGACCCAGCCAACTTCATCAAACATATGCACACACACCTAACCCGGAACGCACTCTCGAATCCACCAATCAACAATATCATAGATGACATACGGTACCGCCAGACATCAGCCAGACAGAACAGCAGTTAAAATGTGCAGACAGGGTGCACCTCAACAGACTCCGCTGTGGTCACCATCCCTCACTATACTCCTACAAACACCGCCTGGACAGCACTCACTTAGACCTGTGCCCCCAGGGCCAATGTCATACACTGCCCAACACCGTCAAGCATCTTCTGCTTTAGTGTCCGGATCTGCAGCGGCATAACAACCGTCGCAAAGCTTTGGTCCGAGCCCCGCTCGGGTGTCTGTTTCTTGCGCAGCGCGGGTTTCCTGGCGTGACCGGGACTCGGGGAACGTCAACAACTTCTACACTACTAGTTTGAACTTCGGTGCCGGCTCATTTATAAATATATCCATACTCCGCAGTTCATTATAGTTAGATTTACCTGAATAGTGAAAGACAGTGACTAATAGAGATATTTGATGTAATCACAGGAGCTACAGATGAAAAATACATTTAACAAATGACAAGAAAACTGTAACAGGTAGCAGCGGCAGCCACAAAATGCGAGCGTCATGTCAGCTGCTTCATGTCCTGCGTGGACTGTAGGAGGTTGTGCGTGGACAAGTTCTACACGCACCTGCACTCCTTGTAGCAGTCGAGCAGCTGCTTCATGACCTGCGTGGACTGCAGACCAGGATTCTGCGTGAATATTTCCTCAAGTCTGCCCATGACGACCCTGGCCTTCTCGATGTTGGCAACAAGGCGGGTCTTGAGCATAGGGCTCTTGTCGTCCACCCATGAGCCCTGGCTGCTGTCGTCACTGACATCGCCTCCTTGCGGTCCATCTTTGCCTGTCAATTGCAAAAATTTAGTTGAACGTAAAATATATTTTTTATTCAAGATATCACGTTTGGAATAAATTTTACTGGAAGCTGAAAAATATTATTTTCATTCAAGTATGAAAAATATTTCCTTTTCTGTTTTCACTTTTTTCACCACTTTCAAGATGAATCTACGTTTCAATCTCTATGAAGTTGCTATGCACCAAATCAATAGATTTAAAAGATATATGATATTATACAAATCCATCAGGGCTATCAACTGTTACTACTGGATAGTTACCGATCTGTCTTATCAGGTTCTGACCGTGAAAAACTCGCTCCTAATAACGTAATAATTAAAATAATAATAATAACTAATGCTGGGACAAACGACCCTTAGGCCAGGCAATTCAAGATGGCAACAATTTGATGAGATTTAGTTAATAAATCACTGGTCAAGAAGCTTCAAATTGAAATTAAGTTAAAACGCACTGGAATTATAACGAGGATGTCGAACCTCACAGCACAATGACCTTTATACATCACAGCCACACAACTACTCTACATCACTCAGTTGTATAACTCTGCTCACCTTCATCTTCATCATCGGTGGCAGTCCTCCAGCTCTTATCATCACCATCATCGGACCCGAGCGATGAGTCACCATCATCATCATCCCAGAGCTCGCCCTCATCAGAGTCGTACTCCCCCACCTTGTACAGGTCCTGGGGGAAGCACACGGACGACGACCCGTCCACCCACCACACGTTCACCTGCACCGAAAACGAGATCATCATATGGGGTTCGAATTAGAATTACGTAAATGAATTCGCCATCATCCGGGGTTTGAATTAGAATTACGTAAATGAATTCAGATAAACAGTTGATAAAATGATAAACATTCAGATAAACATAAACATAAACACACGGACAACGACCCGTACACCCACCACACATTCACCAGTACACAAAACAACAGGCATCATATGGGGTTTGAATTGGAATTTAAAAGCAAAGGAAACGTCAATTAGATTTACCATAACTTGATTGAAAGCGTTTCAGTGACCAGCTCTATAATAAGCTCCATTCATCTGTTTAAAAATTTAATAATTCAAGTACAATCAACAGGAAAAATCCATTGAATTTAAAAGCAAAGAAAACGACAATTAGATTTACTATATCTAATTGAAAGCGTTTCAGTGACCAGCTCTATTATCAGCTCCGTCATCTGTTTGAAAATATAATAATTACAGTACAATTACCGAGGAAAATCTAAATTTACTTGAAAATGTTCGAAGATATGGCAATTAATCCGTTTGAGTCACAAAGATTTGCATTATAATAATTAATATATCTAGAAATTCAAATAAAACATTTGCAAATCGACCGTCCTAGTTTCCATGGTGTAATAAAATCTCATGAACACAACCTTCAGAAATATTCACGTTTCTTGTAATAAAGCTTGTGATAATTTCTTGTGATAATTCTGGGATGATTTGTTCAAGCATGGACATCACGTTATGTCCACAGGCCTAAAATGATCTTAGTTTATAAATTAGATCACGTTCCACTTTAAAACTTGCATAGGACTTCCAGGAGTGACGATATTACAACTAATAAAGTCAAGTTAAGCAGCCATTAAAGACCTTTGAAATGATAAGGAAACTCTACAATCTACAATTGGGCACTTGCCACAAACCATTTACACTTACTAAGTTGGCGACCTGACTAGAGGCGAAGTTATATTACAAAATAATTATTAAAAAACAGCTTAGAATATGAGTAACTCGCCTATATTGAAAAATAATAATTAGAAAACTGCTTAGAATATGAGTAACTCGCCTATATTGAAAAATAATAATTAGAAAATTGCTTAGAATATGAGTAACTCGCCTATATTGAGAAATAATAATTAGAAAATTGCTTAGAATATGAGTAACTCGCCTATATTGAAAAATAATAATTAGAAAACTGCTTAGAATATGAGTAACTCGCCTATATTGAAAAATAATAATTATAAAACTTATTAAAATTGAGTAACTCGCCTGACCAGTTGGGCAATTGTCGAAGACCTGACCAGTCGCACAGGTTTGGTCGTTATCAAAGTTGGCAACTCTAATGACAACAGAACCTGAGCGGTAGTGGAAGTCGGGGTGATCGTGCAGGTCATACACGCTAACCTCTTCTTCTCCTTTGAACACAGGCCTGCAATACACATAATATTATACATTAACAACTCAATTTTCTCTAAATTAACTTATAAATATAAATAATCTAATCAATTATTGTTAATGTTGTACACGCTAACCTCTTGTTCTCCTTTGAACACTGGCCTGCAATACACATAGTATTAATATGATTTTCAGGAAATTAACTTATAAATATAAATAATTTTATAAATTATGGTAAAAGGTTGTACAAGCTAACCTCTTGTTCTCCTTTGAACACTGGCCTGCAACACACATAATATTAAGCATTAACAACATAATTTTCAGTAAATTACCTAATAAATAGTCTTATAAATTATTGTACAAGGTTGTACACGCTAACATTCTGTTCTCTTTTGAATATAGGCCTTCAGCACAAATAATATTATACATTAACAACATGATTAGCAAGACGTTCCTGTATCAATAATCTTAGAGATTATAGTCAAGATCGTACACCCTAATCTTAAAAAAAGCCTGAAAAACAAAAAACAACAAATCAGCAAGAAGTTGCCGTAAAAATAATGTTAACCATATCGTACATGTTAACCGCCGTTAACTAAGAACAAATCACTAATTAAATAAGATGATAAATTACTCAACAAGACGATTTCTTATTAAATGAAAAGAAAATTAAATTAATCACATTATTAAGTTAATTAAAGAAAAGGAAGACAAGTAATGGAGTGACTGACTGTGGTTCGGCCCCGGCAGTGTAGGTGCGGAACCACTTGACAACTGTGGTCCTGCCTGCATGGTCCACACGCTGGACCACACCGTAGTCGTGAGGGTCTACTGGCTCTCCTGCCTCCGGGCACATGCCTGCAATTATATGCATAATAGTTATTATATGCATTACAGTTATTATATGCATTATAGTTATTATATGCATTATAGTTATTATATGCATTACAGTTATTATATGCATTATAGTTCTTATAGATAACGACGCGTGTAAAAGAACTATCTTCATTGTAAAGTATACAAGATGGATATGAAGATAACGTATGCTTATAATAGTTATCTTAATTGTAGAGTATACAAGAAGGTTCTACAGATAATAATAACGAATAACAGAGTTATCTTCATCAGTAAGAATTCAGTACCTAAGTTAAGTAATTTAAAAGATCATCTACTGTCTTCTATAACAAATATAACAATGAAAGAAAAAAAGTTCAATAGAAAAAAGAAAAAAAAACAGAACGTAAGGTTTTATCATACAACAAAATTATGTCATAATTATCCAATGATTTCTAAAACAAACTCGTGAACATCACAAATAATTATACACAATTGAAATAATTATCTAGATAAATGAAGGATATACTGACTTACCAGCCAGGGTTGTAGGGCTTTGGCAGACGACGAAATCAAAATATTATGCAGAATTTAAATAATTATCTAGATAAATGACGTACCAGCCAGGGTCGTAGGGCTCTGTCGGACGACGAAGTCCCCAGGGAAGAACTCGTGGTCGTCGAGGTGGTGGATGGGGTAGAGTTGTGATGACGGGATATCAAACTCTACTGAACCGTCCTGTCAAATAAACACTTCTATTATCTTCAATAGGTATAGTTTTTCAATGTTTTTAGCGCATTTTCTCATTTATGGAGAAAAAAGGCGCTATTGTGCTCGTCATGTCCGTCCGTCTGTCTGTCCGTGACAGACAGACGGAGTTGTGAGGACGGGATATCAAACTCTACTGAACCGCCCTGTCGAATGAACAGTTTTAGCGGATTTTCTCATTTAAGGAAAAAAATATAACTCAGAACTCACTGCACTGAGTGACAGAGAGCGCATTTTCTCGTCGACGCAAACACGAAGTCACGGACGGACAGACAGACGGACTGACGGACATGGCGAGCAAATAGTGCATTTTATCCATAAATGAGAAAATGCGCTAAAAAGGCGCTATTGTGCTCGTCATGTCCGTCCGTCTGTATGTGACTTCACGAACGGACGAGAAAATGCGCTCTCTGTCACTCACTGCAGGGAGTACTGATCTGTTTTTTAGTATTTATTATATATATAGGACCGTACATGGGAGGGAAAAGTCTTTCACGAGGTGCAAAAGTGTACCGTGTAGCATGTAATAACATGAGAATAATCAATTATCACTTGCCATATGAACGACATGATTCCAACGAGCCACATAGCGAAGTGAACATAACCAAAGACAAGGATAACATGATCATAACCAGCCACAAGGATAACATGATCATAACCAAAATATGAACATGATCATAACTAGCCACACATATGCAGCGGACCTGCCAGACGACATCAGCATAGCTGGAGGTCATAAGCGTCTCTACGACGACGCGGTCGCCAGGGCGTGGCTGCGACGAGGGGCTTGGGGCGTGAGCCGCCACGAGGCGCTTGGACGGACGAAGCTTCTTCTTCTTCAGCATCTTCGTCATGAGGGACGGGCCTCCTGTGCGCCTCTGGCTGCCTCCTGCAGGGGAGGAGATATAATGAGCGAGAAAACAACGGTCTTTGCATAATAAAGGATGAAAAGATTAGTTGGCAACTGAAGGAAGAAAAGCGTAGTTGGCAACTGAAGGAAGACAAGATTAGTTGGCAACTGAAGGATGAAAAGCGTAGTTAGCAACTGAAGGATGAAAAGATTAGTTGGCCACTGAAAGGAAAAAAATATTAGTTGGCAACTTAAGGAAGAAAAGCGTAGTTGGCAACTGAAGGAAGAAAAGATTAGTTGGCAACTGAAGAATGAAAAGCGTAGTTGGCAACCGAAGGAAGAAAAGATTAGTCGGCAACTGAAGGAAGAAAGGCATATTTAGCACCTGGCGTATAAAAAGTACCTACAATTTTCAATTGAAAGATGAAATGTGTAGATCTAACCTGAAGGATGTAAAGTATACAGCAGACCACAGAAAGATGTCAATCAATGAACGATTATGAAGCTGAAAGGTTGATATCTGAAAGAAGATTAGATCTTTCAGAGCAGCCTGACCAATGTACTAGTAACACAGTACTAATTAACGCTACACTGATAACGCTACACTGAAAACGCTACTCTGATAACGCGGCACTGCTGATGGATTTCTCACCGACAGAGGAAGTGGAGGCGCCGCTGCTGATGGATGTATCATCATCATTGTCTTCTAACTCTGAGCGGCAGGCTTCACTGCCGTCCTCAGCACACAACACTGCAATTATATCAAGATTCACCCCAATTCTATTCTTGCTAGCAATAAATTCGAAAAAATACAAATAATTATAATTATAAAATATACAATTATACAATAAAATATTTTAAATCTATATAATTTGAATATAAAAAATTATCATCATGAAGCTTTTGAAAAAAGTCTCGATTGTACAACCACTTGCTCAATTCAAACAACTCAGCGTAAAAATAAATGTAGAGTCTGCTCGTTTGATCTACAGTTACCCTTTTTAATCAATTAATTTTTATTAATTGATATAGCACCGGAGGTGTATAGCATTATATAGCAACTGAGGTGTAAAGAAATAAATACCTAATAATAATACCATATCAGTTTTCGTAAAATAATAATATATGTTTAAAAATTACTTAATTACTTTTTAGAGACAACACTTTTAAAGAATCCAGTGTCTCCAATGTTAAAGATGTACAATAAATTTCTCATTTTATTTTCGAATATTAAAAAAATCAATTTTTCAAAATTTTTTTAATTATAATTTTTTTCAAAATTATTTATTCTGTCAATTGATTCATGCACTGCCTCCAACTTCACACAAGTGTGCAAAATTTCAGATCAATTGGACAGGTAAAAGTGTGCAAATATCAATTATAAGATTTGAGATTTGTAGCTGACGAAATTATTTTTCCAATTTTTTAGTATTGAAAAAAAAATTTTTTTTAATCATTTATTTTGTCATTGGATTCTTGCATTGTCTCCAACTTTACGCAAGTGTGCAAAATTTCAGATCGATAGGATAAGTAGAAGTGTGTTAAATTTTGATTATAAGATTTGTAGCAGACAGACAGACAAACAAACAGGAAGTGAAGTTAAAGAGGAGTGTTGTAAAAAATGCTTTCGTTTATCCAAGATGCTTCAACTTAAGTCTACAAATTAAACTCACTGACGATAGGCTCGTTCTTTTCGGATGCAGAGATTCCAGATTCTGCCGGCACTGACGTAGCTTCTGTGTTATTCTGACAAAATTTATTGATATTTTCACAATCCTCATTCACGGACTTCTCATTTTCTATATTAGTTGGTGTAGCAGCCACTACGGAGTTATTCTTCTTCTTCTTTTCGTCTTTATTGCCAGCGTTGTAGTCTATCGCTTTGACAAAGCCATTTTTGATGAGATCACCGCTCTTCTCACGAGCCCTCTTTCTAATGTTGGGTATAGAGAGCAGATCTGTGGAGAAAAACGAAATAATCAAAAATACAAAAATAATGCACTTATATTTTTAATAACCCAAAATGCACCAAACTGTAACTTGCTGCGCCGTGGTAGCCAAACCCAGCGTCAGAAGCTGACAGGATTGAGGTTGCATCTTTTGTAGATGACATGGCGTACTTGAAAACTACTCCCTCCATAAAATATAGCGTAAAAATTTTTCCTTGTATATCATTTCACATTCTCTATGTCGCCTTCAAAAAATAAAATAGAATAATACGAGAACCATCGATCGCGGCTGAATGAACAGCTCGATGAAAACCCCGCTACCTTGAGTTACACAAACTGCCGCAAAGAAAGCGTGCCAAAAGTTATCGAATGTTGCAGAGTGATATACGTTTAGGTAGATGTTGTAGGAATACAGGGTTCAATTGTAGGAATAGTGGTTTACTTATTCAACATCGATTTACCTTGGGGCCCTTGCTTGGTCCAAAATTACTTGCTGAATATGAGGAGGAAAGTCTATTTCACATCATTTCATTTAAACATAAGTGCACTTATAGTCATACATTACTTATCCCACATTCCACACAGTAGTAATATAAGAAAAATTATCAGACCTACTCAGCCAGTCTATATAGCGTGTTCTGCACAAGCTAGAAAGAACGAAGAATTTAGCACATGTTTACAAAGTGCTCGCATAATTATAATAGCTTGCAAACAATCCAAGCCATTACTGCTAAAATAAGTTGCGAAGCGATTATATCCCAATGAAATTGAATATCCAACTGAAATTCATGCATTGCAAAATTTCGGCATATAAAAGAATAAACTCGTAGCATTCACTTTGAATAAAGCAGGAGATAACATTTTATAATCAGAAAAACTAAATCAATTCCCAAAACATTCTGAGTAAGAAAAAATATTATATGGCATATTTAAACCTCCATGCAAATTAAGTTGGAACAACATTGATTACGAGTTGATTTAATTAAGACAGGGTTTAATCAAGGTTATTTCAACGTTATATTGACGTCATTTGGAGGGTTGTAAGTGAAGGCCTTACAGTGGATATTTATGAGAGAATTAGACTGGCCAGACAGCCCTCAACCAAACTGAAACAATTCCCATAGTAATAATACAGAACTGGATCATTATTAATGTTAATAAAATATTAGCAACGGGAACGACCATAATTACCTTTCATTGCATTACTGTAAGTTAATAATACATACCAGGAAGCAATCTTTAAATACTGAACTGAACGATTCAACACATAAATAAAATATTATATACTGGAAAGAATAACAAGAACACTCGTTCACTGCGAGTGAATAAGACTAAACTGAACCATTTAACATATAAATAAAATATTATTAACTGGAAAGAACAACAAGAACACTCGTACACTGTGGAATAAGACTAAAATGAACCATTTAACATATAAATAAAATATTATTAACTGGAAAGAACAACAAGATCACTCGTTCACTGTGGAATAAGACTAAAATGAACCATTTAACATGAAAAATTTAAATTTAAGACTAAATGAACCATTTAAAATAATACTAACTGGACAGGGGGCCATAATTTCAAAACTCGCTAAGTGAACATAAGTACTTACGCTTTATTTTCTTGTCTATGATTGGTGGATTTTGCTTGAAAGGCCGTCAATGATTGGCTGATGAACTTACGATCTCGTAACTTTTTTTGAAAGTATAGGCCCAGAACAACAAGAACTATCATTACACATCTGCGAATTAATAATACAGACCAGGCAGCGCTCGACCAACTCTGCGACAGGAAGCCTTGGCTTGCTCCCACTGCGCGGAGGACATGAACGTGTCGCCCTCCTTGATGGTGTAGAAGTTACGGTCCCCGAGCTGTAGCGTGCATGGCTCAAACACGTTCAAGATGCGCACTCTGCACACAATAATTAGTGCTAAGTGCGGATTGAATTTCCCACAGAAACAGCGGATTGAATTTCCTGCAGAAACAGCGGATTGAATTTCCTGCAGAAACAGCGGATTGAATTTCCTGTGGAAACAGCGGATTGAATTTCCTGCGGAAACAGCGGATTGAATTACCTGCGGAAACAGCAGATTGAATTTCCTGCGGAAACAGCAGATTGAATTTCCTGTGGAAACAGCAGATTGAATTTCCTGTGGAAACAGCAGATTGAATTTCCTGCAGAAACAGCAGATTGAATTTCCTGTGGAAACAGAAGATTGAATTTCCTGTGGAAACAGTAGATTGAATTTCCTGCGGAAACAGCGGATTGAATTTCCTGCGGAAACAGCAGATTGAATTTCCTGCGGAAACAGCGGATTGAATTTCCTGTGGAAACAGCAGATTGAATTTCCTGCGGAAACAGCAGATTGAATTTCCTGCGGAAACAGAAGAATGAATTTACTGTGGAAACAGCAGATTGAATTTCCTGCAGAAACAGCAGATTGAATTTCCTGTGCAAGCTGTGGATTGAATTTCCGGCGTAAAGAGCGGATTGAATTTCCTGTAGAAACAGCCAATTTCTCCAATTACATTGCAGAAATTCATACAAAAATTAAGTAAAATATCTTCAATTTCATTGGAGAAATAACTCTTTGCATTGATTCATCAAAAGAAATAGATATGCCTAGTTTATAACAAAAACTTGAGAGAGAGGGGAGACGAGAGGAGGGCACGGGAGAGGGGAGACGAGAGGAGGGCACGGGAGAGGGGAGACGAGAGGAGGGCACGGGAGAGGGGAGACGAGATGAGGGCACGGGAGAGGGGAGACGAGAGGAGGGCACGGGAGAGGGGAGACGAGAGGAGGGCACGGGAGAGGGGAGACGAGAGGAGGGCACGGGAGAGGGGAGACGAGAGGAGGGCACGGGAGAGGGGAGACGAGAGGAGGGCACGGGAGAGGGGAGACGAGAGGAGGGCACGGGAGAGGGGAGACGAGAGGAGGGCACGGGAGAGGGGAGACGAGAGGAGGGCACGGGAGAGGGGAGACGAGAGGAGGGCACGGGAGAGGGGAGACGAGAGGAGGGCACGGGAGAGGGGAGACGAGAGGAGGGCACGGGAGAGGGGAGACGAGAGGAGGGCACGGGAGAGGGGAGACGAGAGGAGGGCACGGGAGAGGGGAGACGAGAGGAGGGCACGGGAGAGGGGAGACGAGAGGAGGGCACGGGAGAGGGGAGACGAGAGGAGGGCACGGGAGAGGGGAGACNGTGGTCAGAGATGGTCATGTGGTCAGAGATGGTCATGTGGTCAGAGATGGTCATGTGGTCAGAGATGGTCATGTGGTCAGAGATGGTCATGTGGTCAGTAGATGCCTCACTCAGAAAGTCAATGGTCATAATATTCGAATTGTGACCCACTTTACTACTCCCAGCACGAGCAGCTATAACACCTGTCAGTATTCACGGTATTGTTCTTACTGCTCTGACTACCATTAGTGACACTTGAGGCGCCAGAACAATTATTTCGCCAGTTATCGGTAAAACGATGAAGGGAGATGCTACCTAAACTTAATTAGTACCGGTATTTAACTTAGTATTTAACTTAGCTACCTAAACTTAGTCATCATAGCTGTCAATTCTTTATGTAATAATAAACACTTGTCAGTAATGCACTTGCACTGGGGGTCTTGTCTAGTCTGAACTGGTGGACTTGTCTGGTCTGAACTGGGGGACTTGTCTGGTCTGAACTGGTGGAGTTGTCTGGTCTGAACTGGTGGAGTTGTCTGGTCTGAACTGGTGGAGCTGTCTGGTCTGAACTGGTGGAGTTGTCTGGTCTGAACTGGTGGAGTTGTCTGGTCTGAACTGGTGGAGTTGTCTGGTCTGAACTGGTGGAGCTGTCTGGTCTGAACTGGTGGAGTTGTCTGGTCTGAACTGGTGGAGTTGTCTCCATAGAGCAGACAGCACTTGCACTCACCTCCACCTTCTGCACACATGTTTTTCTACCAAGTGCACAGCACTTGCACTCACCTCCACCTTCTGCACAGTTACGTGCATTTTAGAGCGTCGGTTGCGGGTCTCAGTGGCTTGCAGCTTGGCAGTGACGGCATCTGAGCACTCCACCCACTCTACAGTTTCAAAGTCCTGGACATTCCCCACCAGCACTTGACCAGGATAGAAGTCGTACCGCCGAAACTCACATTCCTTTAAAAACAAGGTGCGGACGATAAATTACATATAATTATTTATTTATATTAATTGGCACAAGCTCTTGATCAATAGGGAAATATTTCAAATACTAACAAAGATAATTCTAGAAAATTAATTCCAGACTCAAGTTTCAGGTTCAATATCAGCTACACTACTCATGTGAATAAATAAGAAAGAAAAATGAATATCATATGAGATGGCAATGGAAAATTTGAACAAAATATTCATGCATTGAATATTGGCAAACATAAATTTACAATTTTACATCAAATTAAATTAATTTTTTCAATAGTCATTATTAATCATTTAGGAGTTCAAGCAGGTTAAATCATAAACAATCTATTATTTTCATAATGTAACATGAGGCAGCTAACTGCTGTCTGAGAAATACAATAAATGAGTTAAATTGGAAAATTTTCAATGTCACAACTTTGGCAAGCAAGACAAGTACCTTTACAGTAAATAAAATTACATTTTTAACCCTTAGGTCAGATAGGTTCAAATTGAGAACTAACAGACATTGTCTTGTCGGCACTAGAACTTAATGAATCTAACACCACAACAGTCAGAACAGAACAATAACACAAATAAAAGCAACCACAGTGAAAAAGTCTTCCATAAAAAAAACATTAGGAAATAGATAGATGAGCCAACCTTGTCCCTAGAGTCCCTGATTTCCACAAGATTTGAAGCAGCATTGTCATTCATGTAAAAAAATTTGGAAATAGAGAAATGAGCCAACCTTGTCCCTAGAGTCCCTGATTTCCACAAGATTTGAAGCAGCATTGTCATTCATGTAAAAAAATTAGGAAATAGAGAAATGAGCCAACCTTGTCTCTAGAGTCCCTGATTTCCACAAGGTTTGAAGCAGCGCTGTCGTTCATATAGCAACACGAGCCATCCTTGAAGGAGAGCAGTAGACGCCGCTTGATCATGTGGACCATACCAACCCAAGAGTCTAGTGAGATGGCCATGTCTGTTGCAAACTCCTGCTCAGAAAATAGTTGTCAATTTTAAATTTTTGGATTAGATACTGACAGATGTACAGTTGTCAGTTGAGAATTTAATAGTGTCAAACAATAAGGCAGGACACACATATATTTGTAAGGTTTCATGTGAACAAGAAAAATATAAAATAACTAATTAAAATCCCAGAATCAAGTACTGATAATGCATATCAAGTTTGTAAGGAACTTAGAAAAATATCTCACCTCAATAGGAACCAAGTCAGAACTGTCAACACATGGGATGACCTGACGTCCGGCATTGACAATCTGCACGCGGGCCATGACTCGCACCTGGCGACAGTAACCACGCTGAGTGTCGCGGCCTATGATTAGACGACGTACTACGTCGCCAGGCATCAATGATCGATCCGCCAGTGAGACCTGATTAGAAAAGTGTTTACAGTCATTTAAATGGCTAAAAAAGTAAAGATCTTTTGAAAACAAGAATTTTCCTGTTGATGGACTACTCCAATGCAAGGATACACATTAAAAAACAATTTCTTCATATTCTAATTTTAACACATATATACTGATCCCCTTTAGAATTAAGTTGTAAAAGGTAAATAGGTGGTAGTATGTCCTTCTATCTTCAAAATTACCTGTAATAAATTATACCTTTATAAGTGAAGACTTTAACTGTTGATCTACTTAAATATGAATAGAAACAGATCATATTAACCCATCCTTCATTACAGTTAAAAGTGCATTCGCAACCAGAGGCTTAATATTATTGAGAGGATTACCTTTCTTTCTGAAATAACAACTTCTTCGCCATTGGGATACCATGCCACTCGTATGTGGCCTTTGGTAACCTTGTCTTCTTCATCATCATCACTTTCTTCATCACTTGACACAAGCTCTGCATTTTCAAGAACCATGCCAAGCTGAAGTTGACCCTTCTTGTTGAAACGGTAAACTTCATCTTCATAAAAGTATTCATATTCATGAGACATTATAATGAAAATTTAGTCTTACTCAAAGAAAGAGATGCAGTTAGGATCATCTGTAAAATATTTGATAGTTTTAGATTTCTGATACACATCATTTGAACCAAGTTGCAACCATGGCTTCATTGGTGGCTTTAATTGGATGTTCCAGGTTGGTTTACTTTTATGATAATATTAGAGTTTTGATGTAATGTGCACTGATAATGAGACACAAGTTACCACTTGGCCAATACTGCTCTCAACTCGGTGCTTGTCATTAAAACCTTATAAATATAATACTGGTCAAAAGTATAATTTGAAGAGTTCAATTGCCACATAATAACTAAAAAGCTTTTTTGATCATGCTAGAAAGTTATGGCTCACTTTTATTAATGTAATAGATTGTTTCTATTGAATGCTATTGAGAGGCAGTAACATAAGATCAAGAGGTGTAGGCTATAGCAAAGTTAATGGCATTGATGATTGAAGCAAAAGTTTGATGGTAGTTTACTAAATGAGTTTATTGTTCAAATTTGTTTTTCATTAGGTTAGAAACCAAATTAGTAAAACAAGCAAAAGCCATTCTTGAACAAGAAGAAATGCCCAAGACCCTGGACAATTTGACCACTTCCTATCCAACTAGAAAATTGGGCTGAAGCCACCTGTGAACATAGTACCTAGAAGAGACTTTTTCAGATTTTTCCTTTGTGAGAGTAAATTGAATTGAGTGCTTTGAGTAATGACTAGACCATTAAAGCATCATAGTTACTAGCATTATCATACATAGATTTTCAATTCAATTTGAACTAGAACACAGAATTTAAAATCTGATTTTATAAAATATCTTATGTGCAACTATGTATGTTGCAGTTGCACATAAGATATGTGAATGAGAACACCACAAGTGGTTGTGGAAGATTTTACTATTTCCACCACAGCACCACCAAGTTAGAATATTAGACAGAAATTTCCTAAAATTAGACTAATGGTATTGTTTCTCAGGTGATTTTTTCAAAATCATGGGCAAAAGCTTTTTCTCATTTTTCCTAAAGAAATAAGGATTTTTTTTTAAGTATGAAGCTGACCCAACTTACAAGCCTTTTTTTGTCCAATTCATAGGTGGCTTCTAACCAATTTTCCACTCTGAGTTATTTCTATGCCTAAGGGCCTTGGTCTATTTCTATGCTTCTAAACAGTGACCAGTGTCAAAGCAGAGACTTCAGAGACTTTTTTAGAAGCTTTCTTAAGTAAGTCAAGTTCCTTTTTGAGTCCTATATATAAACCACTAACCAGTAAAGTATCATGGTTACCACATACCATCATTCATACATAAAAAATTGTTTTAAATATTCAGTTAATCAGGAAATTAAAAATAAACTGATTCTAAAGAATCTGTGATTTGTCACTATGGTCAGTACTCAGTATTCAGTACCTACCGTAAAATGGGGTTACTTTGACCGGTGGGGTAACTTTGACCACTTTTCATTTTTTAACAAAAACCCCCAAAACTCAAAAACGATTCGACATAAAAAATTTTTGTCAATGGCCATCAAAGGCCTAATACTGAGGCTACGTAACACAATAGAAAGATTTAAAAAGTTTGCATATCTATTAGGTTAAAAAATTAAAAATGTGACCCATGAAAAAGAGCTACTATTTAAAGCCTGTCGGAGTACCCCCTCCAATTTTTTTATTTTTTGGTAAAATAACTCCAGGTTTTGATGCATTGTAGTAGAACTATTCTAGTTACATATGCAAAAGACAAATTTTAGAAAAGTGTCATATTTTGCAAATGGGGGGTGCCACCCCCCAATGGGATAACTTTGACCACCTAATGGCAGCCGTGACGATGTAACATTGACCGGCTTGGAAATTAAGTTAAAATTACCATAGGTACCTATATAACATATTTCATGTTTGATACACCTATTAATGTTTTTTTCTTTATGTCTCAGACTCTACAGAGTCTTATATTTGGTAATTTTAACTTAATTTCCAAACCGGTCAATGTTACCCCATCACGGCTGCCATTAGATGGTCACATTTAGCCCATTTGGGGGCGGCGCCCCTCATTTGCAAACTATGACACTTTCCTAAAATTTGTCTTTTGCATATGTAACTAGAAAAGTTCTACTACAATGCACCACAACCTGGAGTTATTTGGAGTTATTCTACCTAAAAATAAAATTGATTTTACCACCCGGTCAAAGAAACCCCAAGTCCAAGAGCTGGGATAACAAAGACCATCACTTTTTTTGAAATTACATCAAAACTAAGAGGCAGGAGCCAGCAATTTATGGTGAGTAAAGCTAGAGTATAGACCTGTATTTTGCATGTTTCAATTTAAGTTTAACTTATCTAGTAAAAAAATGGCATCATTTTGAAAAAAAAGTGGTCAAAGTTATCCCATTTTACAGTATGGACTTCTAAATAAGAAAAATTACAAAATTGTAGACAATTGCTAATTGCTTAATGATTTTTTTTAATCTACCAATAAAAATACCATTAGACTATACCATAATGGCAAACCAGAGCTTTTTTAGAATCAGTTCAAGAGTTCATTTTTAATTTCCTCATTTACTCATGATTTAAATAAATTTCTTATGTATGATAATGCTGGTATCCAGGATACTTTATTGGTCTACTTATAGGACTCAAAAATGAACTTGAGGGGGAGTCTAAAACTCTAAATTCTAAAAAAACTCGCTGCTTTGCCACTATGGACTATACAATTAATTACCCAGAAGCCAGAATCTATGAAAAATTCTATCCAAATTCTAAAATTTACACAGCCTACCTAGGCTAGTCTGGAAAAGTCCTATTTTTGTCTGAAATATCGCGGCTCTAATATCATATAATTTCAGTAGGTATGAAATCTCGCGGCTCTAATATCATATAATTTCAGTAGGTATGAAATCTCGCGGCTCGAATGTCATAAATTTTTGTTTGATTAAAAAATCGCGGTTTGCACTTCGCAAACATGTCATTTCATAAAATTTTCAACTTCCGCAATCTCGTAGAAATGGAATCACGGCTGGCAAATCCATAAAACCACGGCTCGAAAAATTCAGTCGCGGCTTGCCAAGTAGATATATTCCATACTAGTACCTAGGTATCTCAAATATGACTTTTCAAGGTCTTTTCAAATTATTCATTAAAAAATAAGAAAAATGCACCATTTCTGCTTGAGTGCTTGTGATTTGCAAATCACCTGTAAAAAAACTAATTTTACCTGCAAGGCTGCAACATTGAACATTAGATGAAATAGGTATGGGAAAATGGAGCATAATATTGGATATTCAGATAAGGTTGAAAAGTGGATTCAGGCTTTAAATGGACTTGTCATTTCACTAATTTCACCAGTCAGTCAGTCACCACTCTCTGAGCTCAGTGAGCTGCAAATTGCTTCCAAGTTCCAAACCATATTTTAAAGCAATAGATTTATGTAACATCACTAGCAATGATAAGCAATCTAGCATGAATTATCTCTTACTAGGTAGGTAGGCTAATTGAAAAAAAAATTGTAATCAGTTCTGGCTCTGCAGTTCACCGAGTTCAGCAATAATATTTGAAAATTATAAACAAATACTAAGCATAGCCTATTAATAATAATAATAATAATAGCGGTTTCAGCGTTAGTAGGCCGTAGGCCTGTCGCCGATTCTTAACATCGCAGAACATCCACAGCTTCTTGCGGTCTCGAACTCGCAGCTCACTGCTTCAATTTTTGCTTTGCTTAACCGCCCGGCCTCCTTGCCGATTCTGACCGGAAACTGGCGCACAGAGCTGGGATCGAACCCGCGCCTCTCTGCTCCAATCTTGGTACTCTGAACTTTAACCACTTTTTTTTAACCCTTTAACACGTTAACCGCCACATGTACCACCGGTGGCACAAAATAAGCTGTCAATGAACGCCATATGTACCACCGGTGGATCATTTACATATTTAATTTCAAATTTCTTTTTCACTCGTTTTTCATGGATAGAAGGATGAATTATCAAAACAAGTGTCGTAATTTATTTATTTATTAGCATAACTATTCAAAAAAATAGTTTCATACAAATTTTAAATGAAATATAACTATAGTTTTGTTCCGTAAATCAGACTCTTTCTCAAACCTAAAATTCAATGGTAAAAAAGGAAATTCTTCAAATAAAAGAAATAATCCGCATAAATTCGTGATCATAATTAGTTAGATTACATTTTGGAAAATTATCCATGAACCAATAATAGCATTAGACATCAGACATTACATATGAGAGTGGGTTCATTCAAAACAACCAGGGCATAAATGTGGCTTATTTTTGCTTTGAAGGCAGACTGTTTTCAATCTTCTTGCTTTTGCAGCTGCAACTGAGCAGCCTTCATTTTTCAACAGCACCTCGTAACACCCTCTACATCTTTTTCTTATATTCCGACATTGACCCTCCAACTCAAGAAGGTAATGAGAGTTTCTCTTCCCACCTATAACAGCTGGTTCTCGTCCTGTGTTCCTTTTTTTCGAGTTTCCTGTTATGAGTGAGTGAGCAATAGATTCTCGGAATTTTTTCATCGACAAGGGTTGCTTGATATGAAATTTGTTATCGTAATGCAAAGCAATTATGAGTAGTGAGTGAAATAATGAAATAAACGTATGTAATAAGTCTTGGTATTATTATAAATAAAAAACTAACAAATGAAAATCATAAGTACTAACTACAATATAAAAAATATTTTTTGAGAGCTCTAAACTATAACCACCGGTGGCCAAATAATTATGATCCAATGTGTACCGTTTCTATTGTTGCAATAAAAGCCACCAGTGTACCATAATCTCTTGTACCACCGGTGGCGCACATGGCGCTGGAGAAAAATGAAGATTTAGTGAACATCCTTATGTACCACATGTGTCTCATGGTTTACTCTGTTCTAGAAGATACTAGACAGAGAGTATAACACATACACACCTTCCCTTGCAGCTTTTCCTGACCTACTGAGATATTTTGGCGCCTAGAAGTCATGGCGCTAGGGGTAAATTCCAATATTGCATGCTGGCGGTTAACGTGTTAACCACCCCTAACTAAGTGATTTTTTGGAAATTGAAACCACTCCACAATATATCAGTAGTTTCAAATGTGGAATGTGAAACAGAGATATTTCAGTAAAAAAATTGTACAATCTTTAGCTATGTTATTTACTTGCATCAGATATGACCAATAAAGGCAATATGAATGTTTTATACCTAATAATAACGGTTTCAGCGTTTCGTAGGCCGTAGCCCTGTCGCCGATTCTCAACATTGTAGAACATTCACAGCATTTTTCGGGTCTCGAACTCGCAAACTAGGCTAAATGCTACTGTGCTACAATTCTGCTCAACCGCCCGCCGCCCGGCCTCCTTTCTAACCAGAAACTGGCGCACAGAGTTGGAATGTGGAATCGAACCCGCGCCTCTTTGCCCCAATTTTGGGCTTTTGGCACTCTGGTTACTTCAAGTCTGTAACCACTGGGCCACCCTGCCCAGGGACAGGGTGATGACTTGATTCAGACTCATTGAATACATTTGTTTTGCTTAGGATTAGGAAAAGGAGATACCTAGCGTCAGCGATAAGCATTGTGGCCTAACAGTCAAAACTAACGAGTGTTTAACAGCTGACCGTCGTCAGAGCTAAACGTACAACGGATACCGGATAGCGTAATTCAAGCATGGTCAAACAGTAGTGGCACCATGGCTGAATCATGGTTGAACTATATTTATCTACTTGTTCAACCATGGGCTGAATAGTGTCAACATTGTTTAACCGTTTGATTCACCAAGAAAAATTGCAAGCAATGTTGCTCGCATTGTTATAAGTAGTTTTTTCTAAAGAATATAAATAGTTTATTATCAATATTAAGAAGTTTATTATCAACTAGATGAAGCTAAAATAGGAAAAAATGTAATTTCTACTAAATTTAAGCATATAAATGTTAATAAACTCATTGAATTCACAAATTAAATGTTAGAGTATTGTAAATGGATTAGTGTGCGAATGAGATTAGTTGATGAAATGGAGCTTAAGTTCGTAATTTATAGGAACTAATTTATTATCTACATTAGTGTATAAACAATGTAACCGAGAGATCAGAATAATTGTTTTTTACGATGGTATCTTTAAATCAATCTCTTTAAACGAAATGAATACATTATAGATGTTAGACAAGTTAAACAGTACGTAATTGTGTACCTAATGCCAAACCTCTGCAGCAGCGCATTAATTTATCCTAACCAAGAGCGAAGGTTTATTGTTCGCAAGCAAGAAACTTCAGCTTCAATCAACGTCACAGTGTCGAACTTATTTTCAGAAAGAAATGTCACGTCCGCATTTAAACAAAATTTTTACGATCTCAGAATGGATACTAAAGAATCCAGACATGACTGTCCATTCATTTTCGAAATTTAACTTCTTGTCAATAAAAGAGTTCCTTATGACCAAAAATTTTCAAAGTTCGGAGTGACAAGATAACTTCTAAAAATATTGACCAGGAATCTCGAGCCGGTACCATGGCCATCCAGTCTGGAATCACGCTCGAGCTGTCATTAACTGTTTCTTCCAGTGTACCTCGACGGCTATGAACGCAGCTTATCTACTCATTCTCACAATTCTTTTAGCTTCCAGTCATCGACATCTGGATCAACCTCCCTGATAGCATAGTTGGTTGGATACCATAGAGGCAGGGTGGCCCAGTGGTTAAAGTTCAGAGTACCAAGATTGACGCACTAGAGAGGCGCGGGTTCGATCCCAGCTCTGTGCGACAGTTTCTGGTCAGAATCGGCAAGGAGGCCGGGCGGTTTAGTAAAGCAGAATTGTAGCAGTGCGTTGCGAGTTCGAGACCTCAAAATGCTGTGAATGTTCTGCGATGTTAAGAAGATCAAGTCACGGAAAGTTCAAAATCGGCAACAGGCCATGGGCCTATTTCTTCAGTGCCGACACTTCAATTCATTTCTATTCTATACACCAACCAAAAGCCATCAATCAAAACCTAATCCTGTTTCCAGCGTCATATGCAAAATTAGAGAATAGCTCCACCAAACTGTAAATACTAAATATCTTCCATGAATAGCATTGATAGTGACTGATGCAAAGCATCTAATGTTTAAGTTACACGTCAATCAACTAGCAACACGATCAAAATGAGAGGCAAGTTAAGGCAATGAAATGCTCATTTATTTCCGCAAAACATCGAAATCTGTAGATTCTTTACTAAGAATTTTGCTAAAAATTTGACATGGTTTATTATTAGCAATCAAAAAATCTACAAACTACATCAGCAAAAAATATCACATTTGCGTGCTATTATCAAGCTCGATCATCTTTGAACCAAAAAAATATACAAATTCTTCTAGAACACCTTGACCAAGAAGTCATTTGATACGAAAATAATTTCAGTACTTCTCATGAACCTAGAAAATACTTTGTTACTAATTCACTCGTCAATTATACAATCATTGTCGTCTATTACGCCTCCATCCAGAACACTTCTGGCGCTCTCCACTCCAAACTGCGCGGCGGTTTCCCTGACTTTACGCGCACTTTGGTGTTTCTTCTGTCTTCTGCTACTTTTCCTGGTCCCTGTACTGACAACAGCAAAATCCTTTAGTTCCTCTAGCGCAGGGTCCGTGGTACCACCAACGTCTTCCGCCACAACATCATCCTCCAAAATATCTATAGCTTCGTTGTCCACGGAGGCCGAGCTCGATACCAGAGGGAAATCGTCGTCGTCCTGTTCAATTCGTGCCTGTGACGAATATGCGTGACGTTAGAGCTCAAGAATTATATTATAGTATAGTCAACGTATACAATGAAAATGAATGGATATAGTATAGTTAACGTATACAATGAAAGTGGGTGGATACTTACACACATATAATATTAATCATTTTTATATCAAAGATACGTGATCTTAGAGTTCAATAATGCGATTATCTCCAACGTCTCTAGTGAAAATGGATGGGTTTCTATAGTTATAATAGTATCCATTTTTAAAACAAACCCATAGTATTTGCCTAGGTAATTATTTCGTAATAAATAACTGCAGTAAAATATTTTTATTTATTTCAATCAAACATTTTTGAATTGGAATTGCATTTGCTCGCTGATAGGAATTTTAATAGAAATCTTTGACCAGCGTCTAAATTCCTCCACATTTATTTCCTAAAAGTTGAAAACTCGATATGAACGGGTCACAAGGTTTAAGTTACGTCCTGGTTTAACGAAGCAGATACAGTTAGTGACCGGGCAAGGCAAGTGCAGGTTAACACGTTGACTACGAAGTGGTACATATGCGTACCACGAAATGCATTTCTCCAGGACGTAGTGGTACATAATTCAGGTTGCCTAAAATCGGCCAAATCCGAGAACAAAAAAGGCCAAAAAGGCCGATAACTCAAAATATACTAGTTCATTTGTAGGTTCCACTATAAAAATTCCATTTATTTTCTTTTTGCAGTACTTAAAATTTAATTAGGAAGTACCTCTATCATAAATTTTAGCCGGCCAACGCAATTGAGAAAAACTAAAACACGGAATTTGTCCGGAAAAAATGACCGTCTGGCAACCCTGTTTAAAAACAGTACAAAAATGAAATAATAGTACAAGATTAAGCAATCGGAGTCAAAGTGTTAAGGAAGTTAATGACCTGGTTAATCCAGTACTGCTCGGTGGTGGGGTCGTTGAGAGGGTTGAGGCAGGCACTCAGTCGCTTTTCCAGGGCATCAATGCAACTCTTGTCAACAGCGCTGTCTACTGCCTTAACCAAACGCTTTATTTCTGCAAAAACAAAAGTTAATTTAACTCAACTTTTGCACATTGTTTCCAAACGCCAAGAGTTTAATGGCATAGTTTTACTAGAAGCGTTGTAAAACGACCTTTTTTCATTGCTGAAGAGAGAACGTAGCAATGATTCTCTTCGGAACTAGAAGCTTTATCAGGACAGTCTCAATATTTATGGATTTCACAAGTTATTATTCAGTGGTGGCAACTTAATATGAATTTGTCCAGCTTTACAATGGCTCCACAGTAAATGTGTCTAATGCAGCTGTCTGCGGTTGGTGACTTGTGCAGTGCTTCTCTTAAATTCAGTTATGTTTGAAGTCATTCAATGCGGTTTGTGTCCCACCACTTTGACATGACTAGTGCTTATGGTTTTTCTCAGAGGAAAATTACCGCATGATAATTAAGAAATCGACCCTGAGCATGCAAGCAACAGCTTAATGTTGAAAATACATTGAATAATGCATCATTCACTTAACTAGCACCACTTTTTGAATACTGATCAAATTCATCAATCACTTTACTCATACCAGTCAGTTCATTGACTCACTAAACCCATTGCATCAGTCACTCTAGTTCTAGACCTCAGTCGATTGATAAATCAATAAACTATTAGCCTTCCTTCATTTGCAAGCTCCTCGTTTTAACCTTTCATATCGGTTACAAGGTACGGTATGGCCTTCTGTAGGCGCATTCGCCTACAGTCACTAAGGTAAGATTGATTGTACAATGGGCCAGTAGCGGCCGCTACTACAACACTCAAACGGTAGCCACTAATTATCATGCCACTAGACTCCTGTAAAAGGTTTATTGGGTCCTTCCGGGACCAGTATTGCCTAAATTGACTCCAAGAGAACGCGACTAATTATCATGCCACTGGCCTTCTGTAGGATTATTGGGTCCTTCCGGGACCAGTATCGCCTAAATTGACTCCAAGAAGACGACAAATATTGATGTCGGTATCTGAAAGTTATACTGATTGCCATTACTGTCGCCGTGTACAAGAACCTCACATCAAGTACTCTAACAAAATTCAGAGTCGCCCCAGCTTCTGGTAATCCAAATCAGAAGCTGACGCGTCTGCAAATTTTCACTGGGTAAGTTCCTCCATCACCAAGACAGCCCATAGACTCACTCCTGACAGCATCCACAAGCGGGGCCAGACGCTCAGGACAGTCTCGGAATAAGATGTCAGTAACATAGGAGTCCAAGTTCTGACCCAGCTTACTTGCCGCCGTCGTCACTGCCGCAAGAGCTAACTGAAATGCAACATTAGTAATAAGGCCTTTACTTTAGCAAAACAATTTTCTTAGTAAAGGATAAGAGAATTTTACATAATTTTTTATCTCATAAATTTTTCTATGTTAAAACTCGAACAATTATTTTTGATTAATTATTATCAGTCGAGCAATAGTGCAGACGAAACTTAGTCTTGGTAATCACTTATTAATGTATGAAACCGTTACTTCAAAACATTTTTTACCGTCATATTGATGTTTTTACATGCAAAAATTTGTACTCATTTCTTATTTTTCTAAAACCCAATTTTCGTTCAATGAACGTCTTTATTCAATGTATTTCGATTAGGTTTAAATTGGATGCATAAAAATTGAGAATGAATGCATTCTTTTAGGACCAGAGAGGATAAAATTTTTAATGTTCCATACATTTCATTGGCATGATAATAATAACAACAGAAACATACACATACAGAGCAAGATAATGCAAGTGGTAATTTGCTGCTCCTACCTGAGACGGGGCATACAGTAGAGGGGCATCTGTCAGGTGAAGCTTCTCAAGGAAAAGCTCCACAGCGCCTCTTAGGGCCTCTGCATCTTGTAAACCTTCATATCGAGCCTGGATAAATATGAATAGATTAGTATAATATAGTATAGTATCTTCGGCATTGAATAATAGGCCTGGATAGGCCTGTCGCCAATTCTTGTACTTTTCTTGACTAGACTGGCCTTTTGATCAAATCTTTTCAACGGACGGCAGATTTAAAATCGCTTCTAGATTTCAGTTGTTCCGTAGGGTACGAGGCATTTTAAGACCAAACATATGCTCCTGCATGGCCTTGTCTAGTCTGTTCTTGTATGTGCTCATACTCATAGCGTTGAGAATATCTTCAGGGAGGTTGTTCCACAAGTCGGTGATTCGAAGCGATAGAAATTATACATTTATACAAATGTATTAATTATTGTATAAATATATACAAATTATACAAATAGCGATAGAAAGTATACATTAAAACTACTAGGTATTATGATTGCATTGCCATGTAAAAATAAAAAGATAAATTATTAAAATACCACATTAGATTGGCTGATAGACATCAAGGTCATAAGTAAGAAAGGTTACAAATTTTATTAAAATATTCTCATTATCTCAAACACAGTAAACGCAAATCTCACCTTAAGGTCTATCAGTAAACCCTCTAAAGGTCTGTATGGTTGATGCACTATTAAATGGAACTGAAGCTCTTGCGTAGTCTGTAGTTCACTGTTGAGTATCATTGAGGCCATCCGCTCCTTATCTTTGGCAGAGCCAGGGACGTTATGCACATAGTCCGTGATTGTCACGTAGAACTCCTCTATTTTACAGGCCAGGTATATGCAAGTGTGCCTGAAAAAAAATATATTTTTATTTATTTATATTTATTTTTGATAAATATTTATTTTTTTTTAAATAAATATTTTTAAATCAGAGCATGTAGGATTAAAACTAAATGCCAAATTATATTTTTGAAATCAATACCAAAAAATATTGAGGGAAAATTTGAATGTATATAGTCAATACTGTGTGCATTGCAAAATTCTCCTGCACTCAAGTAGTAGGGTGTTTATAGCACCTAAAGGTGATTCGGATTAACACTTAGTTTTCAGCACTAAAATAATTAGTTCACCAATTTTTCAGTAGTTTGTCTTCTTCTGAAAAGTTGATAAAAAACAGTGATCACCTCAAAGAGAAGTAAAATAGTTAAATTTTATGAACTAGTCACAAACACATCATGCTGGAAGGGAACTTTTCAAAAGGTCTGAAGGCATTTGATGATCGAATTTTATGAAAGCGGGGGGAAATATTCACAAAAATATTTAGTCTATGATTTTCATTGGTTTATAATCTAAATGTTTTAGTCAAAAAAGAATTACATTGAATCAGATCTTTAGGATGCAACATAATATAATTTCTTTAACAAACACAAATGATCAATCATTAATGTTACTTCTTGAAGTTCACTGTACATAAAAATGCTATTTCATTATTGCTCATCATTGCATTCCAGCCTATTGTAATTTGAATACAGGTAATCTGAATTAACATTAAGCATCAAACAAGCATGATGGACAATGCTAACTGTTTTACATTGCCTCAGCTCAATCTTGAAAAATAAATTTTCACAACACACAAAATTGAAATAAATACTTTTTGTTTATAAATTGTAGCCTAATAAAAATTATTGGAGCTACAAACATGAATGCTTTAAACAAAGGATAATGGACCAATGCAACTAAGTAAAAAATGGAAATCAATGTGAATTTAATAACAGGTATATATATTAATGCAACTTACATGACGTGCTTAGGGTGGTGATCCATAACACTGTTGTATAAGAAGAACCTTAGTAAATAGTGGGTGGCAACTGTGGTGACATAAACTGGCATTCGGATTCTGGAGTCCCTTGGATCACGGAATTGACTACAAAATTCACGAAGTCTTCGCACATACTCACGTACCTAAAATAAAGATAATGATTATAATGAAGACTTGTTGCTTAGAATGTCACTAGTACCAATGCAATCAAATTTGATCCAAATAAAATGTCTCTTGCTGAATATAAATTCACAAACCACAATGCTATAAAATAGCATCAGATGGGGTTAAAAAGGACTATGGCCATTTTGGGACAAGAAAAAGAAGAAAAATTTTTTCAATCTTAATATGAATGCTTTGATAGATAAATTTTATGAGCAGGCGACAATTTGCTTAAAATATTTTGATGCATGCATAAAAAAGACCATTCTGTACACATATTAATTTAATTATAATGATATGTATCCACAATGATAATGTTTGAACAAATTTTTCATTTTAGGACAGACCATGACTTACCAAAGTGAGCTCTTCTTCTGAAGACAACAGGTTTTGTGGATCTCCATACTGAAAAATAATTGCCAATTAGAAATATCATATGACTATAGTACTTCAAGATTATGTCAATTCATATTAAGCAACTTTCAACTTCTTGCATGTCAGAATGTCCAATTCAATACTCCATTGGTTTTTAATAATATGCATAATATAACTCTATATGCAAGTGGACATATTTTTAATCTTAAAAAAGGTTTTAAGTAAAGCATAGACAATGAAATCATCAACCAATTTCCAAATAATGTAATAAATTGATGCACTACTTTTATACCTATTAGCTACTGAAAAACCATAAAGTAATTGTAATATATTCAAAATTTTAATGCTCACAGTTCCACTGCTAAGTTGTTTAGAAACATAATCTTCATTAGCTGTCTTTCTCAGCCTTTGTAACTCTTGTTCATTTCTGCAAATAAATATTCAATAATTATTATTCATAGCATGTAGTTAAAAATTAGAAAATAGGTCCAAGCATAAAAATTTACAAACAAATATACACACACAATTTTTTCCATTGGCACTCTTCAACCCCCCCAGCCCTATGTTGCTATTTTCAGAACTCACCCCCAACACCCAGACAAATATTCAACACTCCTTATAATCACTACCTCACAATACAAACTCCATGCCCCTTCCCACTCACTCACCCAATTTCAGCAAACACATGCACACACATCTAACCCAAAACGCCCTCTCAAAACCACCAATCAACAATAGCATAGACGTCATACTGCCAGACATCAGCTATACAGAGCAGCAGTTAAACTTTGCAGACAGGGTGCACCTGAGCAGACTCTGCTGTTGTCACCATCCCTCACTATCTCCAACAAACATCACCTGGACAGCACTCACTCGGCCCTGTGACCCCAATGTCACGCACTCCCCCACATCGTCAACCATCTTCTGCTTAAACGTCTGGAGCTGGCACTGGCAGCATCCAGGCTACAGGCCAGCATAACATTGGTCACAAAACTTTGGTCCAAGCTGGCTATGGCAACATAGTTTTCTGCACAGCATAGGCTTTCTGGCATGACCAGGACTCTGGGAACATCAACAACAAACAAACAAATATATTGATTTTGAAATGATCAATTCAACAAGATGAGTGTAGGGTTGCACCCATAGGTGGCATTTTACTATTCTGGTTGGGTTGTTTATACAAAAATGCCAGAAATTTTTAAGCAAGATATTAAGAATTGCAAATTTTATTAGAACTTGACAGAAAGTTTATTGAAATTTAAAAATTAAAAAACTAAGAATAAAATGAAGAGGAAATCAAGCTACTACACAGTACACATTGACAATTTTAAACTTTATGAAAGAATTGTAAAAAAAATAATTACAACATATAACATATAGATACCTACTTCTATTTAATGTATTTTTTATCAATTGGTTTCAAGTTTGACTTAGTATGATAAATTCTATCACAAAGACTACATATAATTGAAGTTAACCCTTTCACAGGCAAGCATTGAAATTTCCAGAAATTAACATTTCAGAAACCAGTTTAAATAAAGTAATAAGTATCGCACCAAATGTTTTTTTTTGTATGTATTTTTAAAAATTTTGAATAGTGAAGGACTGGAGGTTTAAGGGGAGCATGTAGGCAAAAATATATTTTCTATATATATGGTAGAATCATCTCCGAACTTGGTACACATATGTAAAATCAAAAATGATTACTATTTTGTTTGTGTACTTTTTTTGAAAAAAGTGAAAGAAAACGTGAAATTCATAGAAAACGGCAAAAAAGGGGATACTCTAAAAATTTTTTTAGAGTATCCCCTTCTTTGCCGTTTATTTGCAAATGACTTTTTTGCCGTTATGAAATTTATGACTGTTGCAAATGATATGCTACAACATCGAGACACGTATCATTCGATGCGTAAAGACCATATCTAGCGATTCTCGAAACACTTTTTCAATTTTTTCCTTGGTTCTCTTGTTATGATGATTTTTCTGAAATTTTTTGATTTTTCAACAAATTTTGTAATTTTTCCCTCTTTTTTCAAAATATTTTCAAAACTAAAATGAAATTGAAAAAAATGGTTCGAGAATCGCTAGATATTTTAATTGCGAATCGAATGGTATATGTCTCATCGCTGTAGCTTCAAAACTGTAGGAGTTATAAAGTTTGTCATGACATTAAGTGTGAATGATCAGGAGGACGCAACAAAGTCCCAGGTGCACCGCAATAGGTGGTCAATGTAGCATAGATACCAAAGTAAATGTTTCTGGAGCTTGATTCCAATCAAGATGGTGGGAGCGACTACATGCGCACATCCCCGTATGACGCCCGGAGGCACAATGGCTTACACTTTCTAAAAACACTGTATTTGTAGTGCTAGGCAGCGAATTTCCCTCAATGTAATTACTGAAGGAACTCCCCCCTGCCCCCCTTTCATGAAGTGTGGTGTACGTCAAAATTCACGTACAGAGACGGTAATGATACCATTGGATAGCTCAGAATGTCAGCTTTAAGATGAGACTAAACACATAACTGCAGCACAACTCAAATAGACACTATATTTAAATAGCTCAGCAGCTAATTAGTTCCTATCTAATTACATAAAAGAACTCCCCCACCCGCCCCCCTTTCATGAAGTGTTGTGAATCTAAAAATGGATGTACAGAGATGGTAATGGTACCGTTGGATAGAGCAGAATGTCAGCTTTAAGAGTAGATTAAAAACCGGAAAAGCCAAAATCCAAAATTTTTGTCTACACGCTCCCCTTAAATCACACTTGCATAGGCTAATTTATTAAATGAGGTCACTAAACAAAACTTTCTTTATAATTAATTTGAAATTAGGCAAATGAAAAAATATATAATATAGACTATATAGTAATGCAAATAAATTTAATTAATTCAAGTTACCTTAAATAATTAAGTCTATACTGATACTTTCACCTTTTAAAAAATGTGAAAAGAGCATCAATTTCATCGTCTGAGTCAAAACTTTCCTTTGAATTTGACCTTATCATATATGGTCACTCGAAATCACCCCACAAAAAAAAAAAAAAAACACCATGGCTTCTGTTTCGAGCATGAGGTTTCTTTATCATAATTAGTCTTAGTCTACCACTAATTAGCTTACCATTGTTCCATGCATAGGGTAAACGCGGTATATTCCGTCATAGTAGATAATTCCGTCACTTCTTTAGTTTTTCCTTTATATTAAGCTTCGTTTTAGTTCCATGCGTTCGTTGATGGTTGAAATGGTGACGTCATACATTTGCGCGTCAAACTAATGCCAAAACACTAGGTCTTGGCCATCTAGTGGGAAAATATTGAGATCCAAAGAGAGACGATGCACGCTACCAGTGAGATCATCGAAAAATGTGTCAAATTTGACAGTTGACCTTGCTCTACCAAATAGTGAATAACTGTTTGTATAGGAAGAATATTATGGTTTGAGACTTTTAAATACTTCTGTGAATATATTAGGAATCCTTTAAGTACACTTGTATTTGCTGATTTCAAGTGGTAAATAAATTAATAGATGATTAAGTTGAGAAATGGATTTAGAGACATGAAAACTAATTCCGTCACAACTTGAATTGGACACACACAGATCGTTCCAAGCTGTGTACAAAAATTGAAATTTGCTTAATTAAAAGCTTAATAGTTGTTAATTAAAAGCGTAATTAAGTAGTGTTCAATGTTCATTAGTGTTTTAATTCAAAGCCATGTGGTATTCCAATACAGCTCACACAGCAAATGGAATTCGAACACGTGCATGACGGCATTACGTATCAGTCGAATTTGAAGCGCGGACGTAATACGCCTCACCACGTCATAGTGGCAAAGCAGAGAGTTTTTTTAGACTCTCCCTCAAGTTCATTTTTGAGTCCTATAATTAGACCAGTAAAGTACCATAAAATGGGGTAACTTAGACCGGCGGGGTAACTTAGACCACTTTTCGTTTTTTTAACAAAAACCCCCACAACCCTAAGTGGAAAAAACGCGACATCAGAGGGATTAGTCCACCTGTTAATGGATTCCGCAGGGGGCTTAGGCTACGAAAAATTGGCACTAATTCCGCAGGATGCACAAAATTGATAATGAATTCAAGTCGAATTCCGCAGCGCAATCAGAAAAGTGAAATCCGCGCGAAGTTCGAAGCCAAGAAGAAAATACGGAAGCCAGACGCACGATCGAACGGAAGCTACTGGACCAAGAGCAACGTTCATGTTCATTGACCCACTCAACCATCGTATTGCTCGAGAAGCAAATATGACGTGAATGCAATGTACGAATACCGCCCTTTGGCTTACCAACACCAAGTACGAGAGTAATGAGACAACTAAGCAAGTCAGCAACCTTGCAGTTGACATCCTCCTGCTAATGTGCGGGTGGGCAGTGTACTCTAATACTGTTGTGGGGTTGCCTTCATGATATAACACATCTCTGAATTGTTCGAGCACCGTAACCAATGGTGAGTTGAACTGGTTTTCATTCCTTTGCAACTAAATAATGTATGTTTGATATAATGTATTTTTCTATAGTAAATAGGAGTGGGAACTTTGGTGAGGCTCTCAATTCAAGACATGGAACGTTACTCATTACTGCGCTGTCACGTGTCGGCTGTCGGTGTCTTCCAAAGTTCATTTAAATTTTCGAACATTACTTCATAAAAAAACCAAGGACTAATCCATCTTCTTCATTATAAATTTCTTAGTTTTTCAGTATTCTGCGCAGTGTAATATATCTCAATTTTCTTGCATTTACCACGAGAAACATGAATGTTTGCTAGTATACAAACGATCTCTTAAAATGTTGAATGAGATTTCCCAATCAATCTACTGTACTGTCAATGCCACTAACTTCGTTACAGGTAACAACACATTTTGTCTCTGGCCTTCATAAGTAACGATCTATTTAGTTAACAAAACTAAGCCAAAATTTTGTGGCATGATAGAAAAAGTATTTTAGTTATTGTGTAGCAATCGAACCTTACAAATCATACTTCGGACCAATATTAAATGGCTTAAATTGACGAGCGGCAAGTAAGGTGCTGTAGCTGCTTAATTAAAGCTGATTGATGTGGCTGTGGCATTGACGACGATAAAATTATTATAATTTTAATCGTTTTATTAGAGTCTTTACGTGCAAACTACAGTCTTACATGCAAACTTTTCAACTGGTTATCTATTTTTTTCAACAAGATGGCCCTCAAGGCATCTATTTTTGGCAAGAAATTCACTTAGGTGGACGTCATTATATGCCGCATTAAATTTTTTTGCATTTAATAATTAATCATTTCATCCATGACGTACCTGAGATATGTCTAGATTGAATCAATGGGGCACAAAAGTTTAGTATACATAGATATTGCTTAGTATTACTGCTGCTTTAATAAATCATCACACACGCTTCCAAGGTGGTATTGCTACGCAAGCA